AAATAGTACGAAAAACGCGTGTTACAATGCTTTATTGTAATACTCTTGCGGACACTCGTGGCTACGCCGCCACTCGTGCCACAAGATAGTCGTATTACAATAGGTCGCATTGTAACACTTGTCTTTCAATATACTATTGTATTCACGTATGTCACAAAACTTTTGTCGAAATTTTAAAAGTTATAATTTGATATTGAAACCTTAAAACTTCCGAGTTACAGTAGAAATTCTGTACATGTATAGAGGATTTTTTACGTTTATCGGTAATCTGCTCATCGCTTCCATGTAAAGTAGTTGTCAAATAAGTTACTGGGACGTAAAAAACTCGAATATTGATTAATGGGGTGAAATCCGTGTGCGGACAATTCGCGCCCGGATAATTCGCACCCGGACATTTCGCACCCTGGACATTTCGCACCCTGGACATTTCGCACCCGGACATTTCGCTCCCAGGATATTTCGCACCCTGGACATTTGGCTCCCGGATAATTCGCACCCGGCCATTCGCACTCTAGTTATTTGGTCTTTAATTTTCAACACATCGCGATTCTTTAAGTATTTCTATTTCTTAAATATAATCACGCTGGTTTTTTTTTTGAAGTTGTATGAAGAGTCTGATATAGTTAAATCCTGTAATTTAAGAACACATAATTTTTATCTACTGCGCTTTCGTTTTGAGAAAATAAGAATAGGTAACTGAAACGTCTTTTGTGGAGTAATAAAATACCAAATAGTTATACCTAGTTATAGTATATCTACAATATTATGTGTAATATACGCTACTTTTGAGACGCTCTTAATATTAAAACAGAATCAACATATAATACAGTACACAAACAAAGTGATAAGTCTAAAGTCATCTTACATTATAAGATCAAGATGAAAATAGAAAAAGGAAGTAATTTTTACGCTCCCTTACATAAAGATTTCTTAATGAAGACACAGAAAAAATTGTTCTTTATTTCTTTAGTTGAAAAGGGTGACAAAGGAAATGAATTAAATTTATTTTAGACAAAACGAGTATGTATAAATGACAATAGAACAATGCATTTCATAGATGGCACTAAATTTGGATAAGTAATGAAGATAATATTATAATTAAAGGTAAATTTGAAAAGACCCCGATAACACAAATTGCACTTCATAAAGAAACAATAAGAGAAATATCGTAATGATATCCTTTCTATTATTTCTGGAAGATGAATAGGGTTTATTACAAGGTAAAAGTAATTAGGTCCGAAAAATCAGGTTTATGTACGTATGACCACAACTAATTAGAACTTTAACTCCTGTATAGAATCTTCATTCTTGAACGTTTGATAGAGTGGTATTTTAAAATTTATCTGAGCACGGGTTTTGATTTTGTGTATACTTTTTTTTTTAATTTTAAAAAATTTTATTTCTGGTGGTAATATTGTGGTGGTGTTCAGAAAAGGTAAGTTTCCAGTTTTCTTAGAACCAGTTTTACGTTTCTTTGACCACATATGGCTATATGTTGATTATTGGTGACTGAGTAAAATTACACTAACTGATTCTTTTTTTGCGTTATCTTTGCTACAACTATGCTAGTGAATGAACTTAAAAGTTTCTTTTTGATTTTCTTACTGTTATTTATTTTATAGTTTGAAGAGATACATGGAAAAATTCTGGCATTTTTTTAAGAGATTGTTAATAATCAAAACAGTAAGGGTTTTGAAAATCTTGAAACGTTTTAGGAACAAGTCGATATTGATGATTTTTTCATTTAAATGCTTGTAATTATTAAGTACGTATATACTTCCTTTTTAATTTTTGTAGGGCATACCTAGTTCTAAAGCAAAACCCTTAGCATTGGTAATTGCGCAACAAGGAAGATAGGACATCATTGGAAAGGCTTTCCTTCTCTGAATTTGGTGAGACTATAATTTTTTAGATTTGATATTTTCGAAATATTTTAAAAGTAAGTTGAGGGCGCGCTGTTGTTTATGTCATTGGAAGAATATCGGGCCGATCACTATGTAATAGAAGCTAATGCGATCGTGCGTCCAAAATGATGCAGTTGCAAGTGGTATAGAAAAGAGAAAACTTGTACCTGCAACGTCGAATGCGCTGGAAATGAAACAACTAAACCAAAAAAATTACATATCCGAATTCAGAGATAGGCGACCTTACCAACGATGCATCATTTAAGATTTTAAGGGTTGCACTGTCAGCGATGCGAGACAAAGACATTAGTGAGCAAGTTTTATTTTAGACACTGTTTCCTTCCATGATCAATTTGACGTGCCAAAGCGTTTTTTGAAAATTATTTTAATTTACAGAAATAGCGATGTATGGTTTCTAATGCACCACCGTATAATATTTAGCTTCGGAGAAATAACACCTAAATCTCTCCATAACAATTGTTATAATAATAAATGGGTAGATTTTGGTGTTATTTCTCCGAAGCTTCTTAAGCACCCCATTGAGAGTCATGGACCTTCACAATTTCAGTATATTATTTAAATAATAGCCATATAATTTATAGCAAGATCAATTTTTTTCACGATATTTATCAACATTTTTTGCTTTTTTCGTTACTTTACAGTTCTTATCTCTTTAATTTTACGGAAACTCTCAAGAATCTATTTGTTTTACGTTCAAATATGATTATAATTTTCTTGAGACTCTTTTAAGACAATACATACGTATTTCGTTATGTGTCCTTTAAATGGACGACATCGAAGGTTAGAGAACTAGGAAACTTAACTTGCAGCTATTAACAAATAATAATTGTTAAAATTTTATTTAGACTTTTATATTCCTATTGCAATATTATTTGTACGTGCTAAAAGGTTTCCAAATGAAAAAACCTTGATTGTGAATTGGTACAATAAAACTGGGTAAATAGGTTTAAGAAATGTCAGGTGACGATTTAGGCGGTGCAAACTATACGGGGCGCGTAACAATGGAGTTCGGTACAACGAAAAGGGGAAAGAGATACATAATCTATGAAGGATACATGTACCTCTTTGCTAAGAACCTTAAACTCCAAAACTACTCATCATGGCTGTGTCGAGCGAGAAGAGCAAAGAAGGATCCATCGGCTCTTAGTTTAACATGCAATGCCAGGATCTGGGTCAACGATGACAAGGTAAGATTAGCTAAACCGAGCACTGATTTTGGAAGTGCAGATGGTTTCCAGTTCCAAAGCCCTTAATTGGGTATTTTATTAGTTAGGATATCGTCTTTTGACCTTTTGACTTTTTTATACGTAAGTTTCATCGTTGCTTATACCGTCGTCTAATGTTAGTTTTTAGGTTCGGCCCTCCCTTGCAAAAAATTTTGTTTATCGACCTCTTCAAATTTCAATTTTACTCTGGAACCAACCACGGATATGGTCGTTGGGCTTTCCAGTTTTACTGCCCTTTTGGGTTTTTAATTGTTTTCCATCTATTGTAAGTTTTATAGCTATAGTCTCTCCTCAATGATCTCTACCATCTTGTAGATCACCTGAAGATGACCGTTGGTCAAAACATGTAGTGTATCACTTCGTTTTATTAAATTATATGGGAACGGTTTAGAGAACTTTTATTCAATATTAATAAATTATCACATTTAGAGTTTGAACACAAAATGGACGTCACGATTCCAAATTATATTGGTGAGTAATATTGGAGATTTCAAGCTCTGAGTTAATTTAATACTTCACAGCCGACTTTCTATGTTAAAAGTCAACCATACACAAAATACCCTCTCATGGGAGCGAAATTCTGGTGCGAATTATTCCGGTGCGAATTATCCGGGTGCGAATTGTCCGGGAGCGAAACGTCCGGGTGCGAAATATCTTTGGTGCGAATTTTCCTTGGTGCGAAATGTCCGAGTGCGAATTGTCCGGGTGCGAAATGTCCTGGTGCGAATTGTCCTACAACCATTCATGCTGAAGAGTAAACCCTTACCAGTGTTTAGAAAAGGCTTAAATCCACTTTGCTAAAAAAATTACTCCCAAAAATGTTATCTGTTATGATGCTATACCCATCGCCTTTTCGTTTTAAAAACGCCATTAATTTTGGAAATTTTCCTACGTCAATGTTATCTTTAACTTTCAGCATTGTTTTCAACATTGGAAAGTAAGACCAAAACGTAGAAGCACTTGCCATTTTCGACTTTTCATGAAAGTACACCCACCGAATAAGACAATGAAATTTGGAAAAACTTTAAATGCAACTTTAGAGCTACTGTTACACCATGGAGGTGCCGCCATGAAATCCTCTAAAGGGTGTCAACGCCTACACGAATAAAATAAATATTGCCGAGAAGGTCCATAAAAAATGTTTAATGTAGGGGTTGGAGGAGTGAAAAAATTGCACTTATGGCTCTTCTAGTAGTTGGTGCCCTGGCACATAGACAGTAAAGTACCGTTTATGTTAAATATTATTACGTTTTACCTCCTTTTGGAGAAAAAGTAACAACATTAACGATTGCAGGCATTTTTACATCGACGAACATTTAAAATACTCGTTAGAGAAGCGCGTAGTCCATAAAGCTTTAATAGCCCAGTTTCGGTAATCGTAATCGTCATTATCCTTTGAAAATATTTTCCTAAAAAGTTTTTATGGCCGTTTCGTGTAATGGCAAACATTTACAGTTTGCAACATTAGAAACATTTAGCATTGTAGATTTGCTAATTAAGATTACTTTTTACGAGGTGATTGCAATTAGTTGTTATTTAGTACGAAAAACACACGAAACGAGAGCATAAATTCGCGAATGGTTTACTGAACTGGACAATTACGTTTCAAGACCTCAAGGTTAATTTCAAAGAAATGAGTGTGGGAATTTGTCATTTCCTCACCGACGTCTAACAGTTGTACAATAACCTAATGCTCATTTCTTAATGGGCTGATGAAAGTATTATCCAACTTATTGTTTTCGCACAAAGGGGTTTTCCAATCAAATGAGCTAAGTATGAGAACGAATGAGTGTATATCATTAGCTTTATTTCATACAAAAATAAATTATTCGCGAATACATAACGCGCTTATATACCTAGGTACCATTACATTAAATTACAAATTTGTACTTTTGCCTGTTCAATACGGCCCACTCACTCCCGGAGGTCCATAGTGGCCGCCACCGTTTATCGTTCCCCCGAAATTTCCGCCGATATTTCCAAAGTTTCCGCCGAAGTTCCCGTCGAGGCCTCCAACCCCTTGCGTACGCACCGCCGATTCTAGTGTTCTCACAAAGCTCGATTCGTTGCCGATTTCGGGCACGTTTGATCCAACACTTTGTCCGTTAAGTCCGCCGCTGATGGCCGCCTGTGCATCTTGCGGGGATTTGTATTTGATGAAGTACACTTCGGGCTTCGCCTGTTTCACACCCGTTCCCGCCGGAATGGTAATCTGTCCTGCTTGATCAGGTTTCCTGGTTAGAACGTACACCAACGTTTTGTCTTCTGCCAGCGACGGCGGCGCTATCACTTCAGGCACCACGTTTCCATAACTCGGAGCTTTGACAAAAATAATCTTTGTATTCCTTTGGGAGTTCGGTGCGATATTAATGCGTAAACGCGAAACCTCCTCTTCGTCTGGTGCTGCGAAGAAGTATACGTGTTTTTGGTCTTGCTGTGGGCCTCCGATCCCATTTTGACCGATTCCACCGTGAATTCCACCATTAATACCGCCTCCATGGTGACCCAGCGGTCCCCCTAAATTTCCCCCGGTCGATGGCAAATAACTGCCTGTAGGTATGTGGGACACGTCCGGTCGGGCGCTTACCAAAACAAAAAAGCTCAACGTAACCTGAAACAAAGCTTTACTTAGACTGCTTGTGTAAATAAACAATTCTTACCACCAGATACTCCATTACTCTAAATGCACAAACTAAACTAATCTGTAATAGCGTTACTGTATTTTATATACACAAATTTTTCATCCCTACCGCGTAATATGCAATCGCTTTTGAAAGGATATAACAAACACACAATACCGTAGGCTTCAATTTAAACAATTTATGCGAGTTTTTTCTCAATTTTCGTACCTACATTCAATTTAACAAAAAAATGGCTTTTTGTTTTAAGCTTACGAAACGAAGTCATGATCATTCAAAACTTCGTTTTGGATTCACTCGCACTCAATTTCATCATTCCGTAATGCATTCAGGCTGATGGATATCTCCATTCGTAATGGAAAATTAAGCCATTTTTACGCGAGATGCTGGAAATTGTCTGTCTTGTGCAAATGTACTTATAAGTCAAGGTTCGCACAGAAAAAGTAAGTGCGCGTACATAAATCTATTTTTAATTAAGAAATCATCATGATGACTAAATTATAGGTCGGCGTTGAAGTGCTCTTTCTTACAGTAATTGTTCGTGTCCATTGAATTTTGTCTTGCTGGAAGCGGTGAGTCGGCTAAGTATTGCTTTCAAATTTTCGGCACAATACCTGTTAATTCGGAATTATTGCATGCAAGGTATTCATCACTCGTTTATTTGTCTATTCATTAACTACAAATATAATAAATTCATGACTTTTTATATTCTTGTTGGTCACCGGTATGGTTTTTCAAATTTGCTACTCCGTACTTTGTCTCAAAAAATCTTGGCATCTATTTCGTTCTTCCAGTTGAATTTCCGTCCATCTGTGTACGGAATAATTTACGAACGATTTCAAATTTTTCAATTCTGTTTTCGGTATTATGTTTATCATCAGCATCGCCCAAGGAGCTGATTAAATTTTCAGTGACCTAGGAGATCGTTTGCTATGTTAAATGTTGCTAAGTAACGTTACTTGGAGGAGAGAGATACAATTTAATGTCACTGCTTCAAAGTAGAAGTTGCCTTAAAGACAAAGAATAATCCAAAACAGACTTGTGACAAAAACAATAAAGTTAAATGAAAACGTTAGCTAAATAATCATTTCTATGTGATTAGATGATTAATTATTCTTGTTGAGTTTTGGGGTAAAGGTGAGATTGAATTATCCTGCAGGTTCCTTTAACTGCAGACGTGGCAACATCCACAAAATCCGCAAGATTGAGATCCTTTACTTTAGTAGATTCCTAGTGAACTTCGAAATAGATCTTCTTTCAACAACCAAACTTTAATGTTGAAATTGGTATCATACTTTCTTAGTGAATCTTCTACCAGCTTTTCTTTTTTTCCTATTGATGAACGATCTCTACCCTTCTATTTAAAGTTGGCACCTCTTCATCAACTTCAAAATCTAGATCCCGCAAGGATTTAGCAAACATTTTCCGAATTTGATGGTGACGTTCGTTTATGAGAAGATTGCCATGACACCACGCACCGACGACATGGGCAAAAGATTTCTCCCTTCCGTGTAGACTTCTCACGGGAAATTCAAAGGGCTGTAACTTTTGAACTAGTAGCCCAATCTTGGAACTGATTGAAATTATGGATTCTACAGGCCACATTCTATTAGAAAATTTTTTTTCGGGTCGATCTGAGACAATTTGTTTTTCGGGGCTCAAAAAAATGCAGTGTATAAACCTTCCTTTTTTACCAAAAATCGACTGCACCAAAATTTCTCGGGAAAACACTTTTTCTTATTAATTTTGGTGCGTAGAATCCAAAACAATTCGTACTTTTTCGATCAGACTTCTCAATCAAAAGTTATAGACTAGAAACCAATTTCGAAAGAAAATTCAAAGGGCTGTAACTTTTGAACTAGTAGCCCAATCTTGGAACTGTTTGAAATTATGGATTCTACAGGCCACATTCTATAAGAAAATTTTTTTCCGGGTCGATCTGAGACAATTTTTTTTCGGGGCTCAAAAAAAGGCAGTGTATAACCTTCCTTTTTTACCAAAAATCGACTGCACCAAAATTTCTCGGGAAAACACTTTTTCTTATTAATTTTGGTGCGTAGAATCCAAAACAATTCGTACTTTTTCGATCAGACTTCTCAATCAAAAGTTATAGACTAGAAACCAATTTCGAAAGAAAATTCAAAGGGCTGTAACTTTTGAACTAGTAGCCCAATCTTGGAACTGTTTGAAATTATGGATTCTACAGGCCACATTCTATAAGAAAATTTTTTTTCCGGGTCGATCTGAGACAATTTTTTTTTCGGGCTCAAAAAAAGGCAGTGTATAACCTTCCTTTTTTACCAAAAATCGACTACACCAAAATTTCTCGGAAAAACACTTTTTCTTATTAATTTTGGTGCGTAGAATCCAAAACAATTCGTACTTTTTCGATCAGACTTCTCAATCAAAAGTTATAGACTAGAAACCAATTTCGAAAGAAAATTCAAAGGGCTGTAACTTTTGAACTAGTAGCCCAATCTTGGAACTGTTTGAAATTATGGATTCTACAGGCCACATTCTATAAGAAAATTTTTTTCCGGGTCGATCTGAGACAATTTTTTTTTCGGGGCTCAAAAAAAGGCAGTGTATAACCTTCCTTTTTTACCAAAAATCGACTGCACCAAAATTTTTCGGAAGAACACTTTTTCTTATTAATTTTGGTGCGTAGAATCCAAAACAATTCGTACTTTTTCGATCAGACTTCTCAATCAAAGGTTATGGACTAGAAACCAATTTCGAAAGAAAATTCAAAGGGCTGTAACTTTTGAACTAGTAGCCCAATCTTGGAACTGTTTGAAATTATGGAACTAGTAGCCCAATCTTGGAACTGTTTGAAATTATGGATTCTACAGGCCACGTTCTATAAGAACATTTTTTTTCTGGGTCGATCTGAGAAAATTTTTATTTCGGGGCAAAAAAAGGCAGTGTATAACCTTCCTTTTTTATTTTTTCCAAAAATCGACTGCACCAAAATTTCTCGGGAAAACACTTTTTCTTATTAATTTTGGTGCGTAGAATCCAAAACAATTCGTACTTTTTCGATCAGACTTCTCAATCAAAAGTTATAGACTAGAAACCAATTTCGAAAGAAAATTCGAAGGGCTGTAACTTTTGAACTAGTAGCCCAATCTTGGAACTGTTTGAAATTATGGATTCTACAGGCCACATTCTATAAGAAAAATTTCCGGGTCGATCTGAGACAATTTTTTTTTTCGGGGCTCAAAAAAGGGCAGTGTATAACCTTCCTTTTTTACCAAAAATCGACTGCATCAAAAAAGTCATACGCGAAATTACATACATTTGGTAGTAACTGGGGGGCACTTTTTTGCACCCCTTATTATATAAGATTTTGTTGTGTATTATATTGGTCAGATTCGGATTCAGCATCCTAAAAAACTATGATTTAAGTGGATTTACCTAATTTTGTCTAACGATATTATGTATATTTTATAGCTCACTACTATAAATAATTGCATACATTAACTTCTACTGCTATTGCATAAACCGAATATTAATTCAATTAAAAAAATCGGCAAGTGAAATAATTTTACTCGTAGAGGTAATGTATATTACTCGCAGCATTGTTACTTCCTAATTAACTGCAAAATTTTCAATATGCTATTTTCTGTACATGTAACGACAGTTTTTCTCAAGAATGTAGCGAATTATAAATAATTAATAGTTCATTCGGTGTCGTTTAGGCGTTTCGCAATTCAATTATCAATAATTAGGCACCCCACTTTTAATAATTGTGGTCGTAAATGGCTAGACGCTGAGACAGACCACACCTAATTACACAACGATAATTTATAATCTAAGGCTACTAAATGATTTCAAATATGCACATATTGTGCAAAAAACTTGATCCGATATGCATACAAAAAGTTTATCAGTTCCTACTTTTACGAAAATGGTCTGCAGAGAGAAGTCGTATAAAAGTTGGTCCTAATGTAAATTAGTTCAGTATTGGGCAAAGTGTGCAATCATGAAATTATTATTGGTAGGTATATACTGCACTATATTCAACCCCAAACTGCATAAAGCTCTTTCACAGGTTTCTGCGTCTTTGTTGGGGTTATTTGGAACTCCACTAGAAGCGTCCTACATTCCTGACGATAAACACTTACCCTCAACAGATTACTACTGGCCTACTCCCACTTCAATTCCCACGGGTAGTTACCTACCCTCTGAAACTTCTGCTCCAACTAATAGTCACGATGCCACTTATGAAAAGACAAGCGTAGAAAATGATGTCTCATCGGACAATAGTCAGTTTTTAAGCGTTGATAATGACTTTAAAGAGCAAAGGCACGTGTATTTCTTCGCGGCACCTAGTGAAGATGAGTACACTCAGCTACGTATCAATATTCTTCCGAACGATCAGAAAAACACAAAAATCATCTTTATTAAGGTACCAAACCACGGCGGATTTAAACCTGAAGTAGTCCAATCGCAATCGCTAGTTGAAGATAAAACGCTCGTTTACCTCTTGGTGAAGAGGCCCGAAGAAGCGGCTCAGATTAACGTACCTGTCAGGGTAACTACTGTCGGTGCTAAGCCCGAGGTGCAATTTATCAAATACAACAATCCGCACGATGCCGAAGTCAAGATTTCGAGTGCTCTTCAAGGCCAACAAGTGGGGTCTTCGGTTTCGGAGATTGGAAGCGCACCGGGCTTTGTTGGAGTGCTGGGTTCTTCAAAGGATGAGGTGGCGGCAAGTACGCAGTCATCAGCGTCCAAACATAATACTGTGGCAATTTTGAGACCGTCCGTATCCAGTAAGGATTGGTGGTAACTGGTAATTGTGATTGATTTGTGTTTACTTGTATATAGTTACGTTGATTTTGGTGTAATTTTATTTTCTTAATAATAACTACCATAGATCAACTGTTCTAACAATTATTTCCATAAAACCTGTTAAATAAACAATTTATAATAATTTAAAAAACTGTAAATCGCACTTTTTGCTCATATTTACTTACCTGGTCCTGCAGATCAAGCAACGATTGCATGTAAATTGATTAATGAAGACCTAGAGTCGATGCAGAACACCTCGGAAGAACAACATCTAAAACTTAATGTTAACTATTATTATATTATATAACTCTCGCCAGGAAAGATTGCCGGTCACAGCACACCTTGTGTCGATCTACAATCTTAGTTTTTCTTAAGATGCGAGCGACTTCCGGAATAGAATCGTGCCAATGTTAAACGAAAAGTCTTTTTGTTCAACATTGACACGATACTATCCCGGAAGTCGCTCACATCTTTAGAAAAACATAGATTGTAGACCGGGATCAAGTGTTCTGTGACCGGCAATCTTTCCTGGGGAGAGGTTTATCTTTTATCATAGTCCATGGCTACTTAGACTAAAAACTCGTGAAAACAGAATCTTTATAATTAATTTTTTCGCGTACAAGAAGAGGTAGAATAATCGTTTCACATGATTTAGATGCAGAATTTATATCTCTATAACTTTTATTTGAAGTATTTTTGCGTAAAATAATTAGGAAACGTTTGCGCAAAGAAATAGTATACAAGTGGAGAAACTAAAAGTTTCACTCACGCGTGTGTCGAGATTACACACGAGGCGTAGCCGAGTGTGGAACGACACACAAGTGAGTGATTTAGTTTTCCACGAGTGCTGTATAGCGTTTTGTTCAATCCTGTTACTAATAAAAATTTAAAAAGAAACAGTGTAATTAGTTATTTTTTAAGCATCTGAAAAAAACATAGTAGGTAGTTTTCGTTGTTATGGTTCCCATGAGATCTGCGTAAAACAATTGACACAATCTGTCAACAAATTTCCCATGTTAAACGCCTATGTTCCACTTTTCGATTACAATAAATAACTAAAATGCTTTCAATTAAATTCATGTTTAGGAAAATTAGACCCAAAGGATCGACATTAAGAAATTCCTGCTTTGGCGCTTTATTCGCAGTTCCGTTATTAGCGTCGCCTTACCTTTGCTTCACATCACCTTCTTTTACATCGATTTTCTGCACACCACATTTGCACTTCATTGGCATCTTATTTTGGTCTCTATTTCACGCTACCTAAATACTTTCGGAGCGACAATCTTCGTAACAAAGCGCCCAATTTAAACCGTTTCTTGATACCGAGTGCTCATCTACAGAGTGATCACTAAAACTGGTAATTGCCAGGCGGAGAACAGGTGCTTATTTTCTGGGCACCCCTCTATACCAGGCCTCTTCACACTTTCAGAACACCACCCACATCTACACATTGTTCAAGCGTTCTCTCATCATCCCTCACGCGGGTTTCATGTTCCTCTCTTAGCATTTCTTTTTCGATTCGCTTCGAGTTTTCCTCCTCCTTTTTTTTCTTTGGCTTCTTTTACAGCGCCTTTCCGCGTCCTACGCTCCCTTCTCTCTTCAACGCTTGTTCAAGAATGTATTGCTGTGTGCAATGGCGTGCGATTACTACACCACCCACAAAACAACTGTCCAGCTAGCTCAAAACAAATCCAATTTGAAACTTTTATATTTACAGTCTCTCCTCAATACGCACCCGTTACATGCTAGAAGAAAAATCCTAATTTTCACTTAAAATGTGTTAAACAGAGAGAGAGTAAGAGGCCTCGATCTACTTCTGAAAATTGCAAAGAATTTAGTACACAACTTTTGATTATGATTGATAATGGGAAAAATTTATTCCGAGACACATAAAGAATTAAAACAAAATCGCTGCAAGAAAGAAAAGCTTACAGCTTACATGTTTGGACATTATGCCCCGCACACAGGCGGGGAATAATTAAAAATTTTAAGAAAATCTTAAATTATTTACAATTTTTTTAAATAATGCAAATAATCTGATGGTGAAACTTTTTCCGTAAACGGACAACACCCGTTAAGCTTCTTACGCAACTTTGGTTACATTGCTTCTGCACAGATTTATTATAAAAAGAATGACGAATTGCGTCTTCATCAGAACAAATCGGAGTCACTACCAACAGCATCGTTATGACGTTTATTCCAGTATTTAAAAAATTTAAAGAAATCACTTCCACCAGAAGATAATCTCATTCCTCAAGATTTTTCAAATCGACCTCCGATCACAATCAAACTTGATAACCCCAGCTTCACACGAACGCGCCCCCACTTACGCCGAATTAACGCGCACATCTACGTTATCTCTTAGCAGTGATAAAACACGTGTGTTAATTAAATTTCATCCGATAATATAATTTCTTATCGCAAACGACCAGATATGTCTTACAGTTTAATTCGTTTTACGTGTTACAATTAAGTACACAAATCTAAATAATTAATTTACAAAAGCAATAGAATTTAAACAAGAAAATATTACGCAATTAACAATTCTTATAGGAAAAATCGACACTGAGATAATAAGTTCAAAATGTACACTTAATAAATTGAAAAATACCACTTACAGAGTGTTCTGTCATAATTGTTGGTGTTTAGCCCGAAATAACGTCTACTGTTTACACAACAATATTTATGGTTTTCGTTTCTTATTTGATTTTGAAATTTATTTGTACATCCTACGATTGTACGTCATCTAATTTTTTCCCAGAATCTACATGAAACCTGCATTTTCATACCACAGCCGTCTGTAATTACAAGCCATGCTGAGAAGTTTGGCAACGTTGTTCGAAAGTCAATCGGTGGGCCGATGTAAGTTTTAATGGCGTCTTGTTGCTCTTGAAAAATGGCATTTTCCTCTCCCCTGTGTTTCGCCTTGGCGGTTTTAATATAGAAGAAAGATAGTTAGGCAGCTTACAATTGTACATATATTTTTTCATTTACAGAATGGATAATAACATTTTTATTTGACTTTAAAATTCGGAACGCTGTAAATTGGTAACTGCATCATAATGTGTTTTCCATAGAGATTGGTGAATTTCTGTCGAAAGAGGTCGAGGTGAAGCACACGCTTGAGCACTTAATTTCGGTAAAAGGACAGTAAATCGCTGCGCATCAGCGAGGTTTTATCAACAACCATGTGTGATTCGGAATGGCAGACTTTAAGCCAGTCGTACTCCAGTGGGTCTAGGTACGAAGCTTTTAAAGAGGGGAGCCCCATAGACTTCAAATTCCCTTACCATGAACTCTTGGGAATAAGTTGAAAGGTTCCTTCAGAAAATCGATTTGACATGTCCGTGCTAGAATACCTGAAATACAAACTAATTGTATTTTTTCACGATAAACACTTACCGTACTTGCGTACCAGGTAGCGTGTAGGTCATATTTGAGCTTCTTACAGGTACTTTGAACAAATACAAGTGCTTGTAAAGGATCCAGTAAGGAGTAGCCTGCTTTAGAGGTTATGACAACAAATCGATATATTTCGTTTAGCAACTTACCTGAATAATAATTTCTGTTCATTCCGTAGGGAGTAACACAAATTGTCGCAATCTCGCTCTGTTAAAACGGGTAAATAGGAATATTACACCCAAAACACATATAAAATACACTCAAAATCTGTCAAGTTGAATTAGGAAATCGGCCTACCATGCAGTGTTGCCATAATTCTCAGCACGGCTTGTAATTATAGACGGCTGTGTTCATACCTAGCTTTTGTCGGGGCATTTTAGTTTCCATGACAATGGCAGTAACACTTTCCCTGTCGCTTTACCAGACCCCTTTTCCTACAGAATCACCTCTCACATTGGTAATGTCTCTAATGACTTCTGTTATCACTGACAGATTGACATTAATCGAAAGTTCTATACTAAAAAAGCCGATTTTGGGAAAAATTCGTCAGTAAAGTACACTACTTGACTCGGAAGTTAAAGTACTCGGCCCACTTCAATATTTCCTCGTCACTATAAATGCGGTATTTTTCCGACTTTTATGTTAATAATTTTATGCATACTTTTCACACCATTTAACTGAAATTAAGATGCGCGCAATGTAAAATTTTAAGTTAAATAATTACTTCCACTCGCGGTTCGCGCTTTCCCATTTGATTCAAGCACTTTTAACTTCCTTTTTTTATTTCCTCTTAAAATCTGACCCAGCTTGAATGCGTACATAAAAATTTCTTGCACTTGCTAGTGTATTTCCATTTTCGTTTTTTCTACTAATGTAATCGTCTTATTTTTGGTTGGATATTCTGTAATATCTATGGGCGTCATTATTCTCGTAAGCAAAAGGGCGTTATAAAACTCATTTCATTTTTATTGTGCCATCTTTATTTTAATATGGTGACATAATAGCAACAGAAATCGCAGACCCTTATATAATGTTAATGTTTTCGTCTGAACACGACTTACACGACTTCCAAAGGCCACTTCGTCCATTGGTCAAACTCGAAATGTGACCAAACGCGGAAAGCCTAGAAATTTCACTTAATTAAATATTTATAGTAATTAACATCTAATTTTCGTTTTATCTATTGCCATTTAAACTTCCATTGCATCCCTTTGCAATTTAATGGCAGATCTATTACGCTTACGCAACAAAGACACAATGGCTTAACGCATTTTGCAGTTCATTCATTAGTTTTTATAATACTATCGCATTTAGTTTTAATTTACATCCTTTTGAATGTAAAATTGGAAAGTTTTGTTATATAACTCTAATAAATTAAATACTAGACATGAATGTGCAGTTTAAACAACAAAGTGTTACCCGTCCTACATACCAACGCATTGTTGGTGCATCGGCCTATTTAAAAATGAAAAATTTATCTTCTCAGTAATTTGGATTAAAACCTGCGATTCGCCCAAAACGAACAGTTTTACAGACGGATCCTTTCGAAAATAGTCTCGCCTCGTTTTGAGTGGGAACGATGTGTATCGTATAAAATGCCACCTTCTTCATTCTTGCGGTTTATTCAATCTGTGATATTTAGAGATTAAATTATGACAGCCAAACGCTTGCTGGTAAGATGCTCTTTGTGCGTTTTTGGTGTGGTTAAAATTGTTTGTAGGTCATATTCTCCATCATCTCTTTAAGCCATAGTCTACCCGCCTATCCATCCGGTGGTTACCTGCCAAGTGGAGGTAGTCAGCATTTAGGTATATCAAGTTACGAAACTTCCGGCAGCCATATATCCAACCAACAATTCGGCGGAGGATATCACCAGCACGTACAAGACCAAAAGCACGTCTACTTCTTCGCATCGCCAGATACGCGCGAACACTCGCGGCTACGAATCCAGATTGTTCCAAATTCGCAGCGAAACACTAAAATCATTTTCGTCAAGGCGCCAAGTTATGGAGCGCTAGTGCCCGAGGTCGTCGCGCCCCCGTCTATTTCAGAAGACAAGACGGTAGTGTACGTTTTGGTAAAGAAACACCAACACGACGGACAGATCACTATTCCCGCCGGCGTTGGTATTCGACCAAGCAAACCTGAAGTCTACTTCATCAAGTACAAGTCTCAGCATGACGCGGCGGAGGCGGTTAAGGAAGGGACTAGTGGTCAACCGGTCGGTACAAACGTCCCCGAGGTGGCTAACGAGGAGAAGTTTGTCAACACTTTCGAGCGAGATTATGGGGTTGGTGTGATCCAACCGCGTTAGACCTAATTTATGTCTAGTTTAATTTTAAATAAGTTTAATAGTCATTTTTATAAGAAAAGCATAAATATAAATATAAACAAATCTCTGAGCGGTTTACTTTCATTGGTTTGCTTCTTCAACGTGTTCTGTAGGTCACTGCGAACACAAAGTACCAGATCGCATCCTCAGGTCTCCCAATTTGCGTATGATAATTAGTGCTTACGGTGGATCATGAAGCTACATTTCTATCCATCCCTCGAAAATGACAATTACCTTATTTTCATTTTAATAATTCTCCAACCCAAATGTAGTGCCTCTCCTCTCATTTTAAATGCAAATTTAAATTCGGAATTTCAAATTTATCATTCTTTAAGTTTAAACGTGGGTTACCAGGTGACATCTTGAGTTTCAAGTGAAAGCTTGCGGTTTAACCTTGAACTGAAAATTTTTTATTTGCTTACATTTACGATTTCATCAAAATTAAAACTTAAATACAGAATCTGAATCAAAAGTTCTACAGTTATCCCGATTTAAGTATGTTTTCAATATTTTAGCTGAAATTTGTACTGGGCAGAATACTTTCAAAAAGTATTTGAATACTAAATAGTAAATACTTTACATAAATCAAAGGTATTTGAATACTAAATACTTTTACGTCCAGCACAAGCGAATACTAGATACAGATACATTGAAGAGTATTCAAATACTTTAAAAAATAAGTATTCGAATACTTTCAAAAGTATTCTAATACCTACCAGGACCTTTCTTATACCAGTTATATCCTTAAGAATACGTGTACCAGTTTTCAAAGCGATCGTACGTCCTGCACATGATACGTACGCCTTTCTGAAATTAATCCTAGCGATTTTGGAACAGATCCATTTTTGACCATCTGTTTGTCCTTGTGCATGGTAACTTGTTTAGAAACGTGCGATCGCTTTGAAAATTGGTACACATGGTCTTAAGGATATAAGAAAGGTCTCTATTGTTTTTAAGTTACGTAGACTATCGAGTCAAAAAGTTTCACTCCAGGGTCGTTCGGTATTCAGTTGTATCGGATTTTTATATTTGATTTTGTGACAATGGAAACTTTCCCTAAACATTTCTAAATTGTTCTCAAACATTTGAATAACTTAAAAGTACTGCCTTTTTTTGAGGCCGAAAAAAAATTTTCTGAGATCGACCGGGAAAACCGTAGAATCCATAATTTCAAACAGTTCCAAGATTGGGCTACTAGTTCAAAAGTTACGGCCCTTTGAATTTTTTTTCGAAATTGGTTTCTAGTCCGTAACTTTTGATTGGGAAGTCTAATCGAAAAAGTACGAATCGTTTTGGACTCTACGCACCAAAATTAATAAGAAAAAGTGTTTTCCCGAGAAATTTTGGAGTAGTCGACTTTTGGTAAAAAAGGAAGGTTAACACTGCCTTTTTTTGAGACCCGAAGAAAAAATTGTCTCAGATCGACCCGGAAAAAAATTTTCTTATAGAATGGGGCCTGTAGAATCCATAATTTCAAACAGTTCCAAGATTGGGCTACTAGTTCAAAAGTTACAGCCTTTTGAATTTTCTTTCGAAATTGGTTTCTAGTCTATAACTTTTGATTGAGAAGTCTGATCGAAAAAGTACGAATTGTTTTGGATTCTACGCACCAAAATTAATAAGAAAAAGTGTTTTCCCGAGAAATTTTGGTGTAGTCGATTTTTGGTAAAAAAGGAAGGTTATACACTGCCTTTTTTTGAGGCCCGAAGAAAAAATTGTCTCAGATCGACCCGGAAAAAAAATTTTCTTATAGAATGTGGCCTGTAGAATCCATAATTTCAAACAGTTCCAAGATTGGGTTACTAGTTCAAAAGTTACAGCCCTTTGAATTTTTTTTCGAAATTGGTTTCTAGTCCGTAACTTTTGATTGAGAAGTCTGATCGAAAAAGTACGAATTGATTTGGATTCTACGCACCAAAATTAATAAGAAAAAGTGTTTTCGCGAGAAATTTTGGTGTAGTCGATTTTTGGTAAAAAAGGAAGGTTAATTATTCAAATACTATGCGAAGTATTCGAATACTAAATATTTGTGAAAGTATTTGAGTTACAAATACAAATATTGCTTCCATAAAAGTATTTAATTACAAAGTATTTGTAAAGGATTTGAATACTAAAAAGTATTTACAAAATCGAATACTGCCCAGCTCTGGTACTGGGATAATATATTAACTTAGGTCCAAAATAAGGGTCCTTTCTGGAAAATATTCCCTACACACTACAGACAATGCGACTTTTCATCCAAAATCTTTAGAGACCTCGTCACCTTCATAATAATTTCCAATGTGGGCCATCGAATCTACCCCGCAACCTTTTCATTAAAAACCTTTATAAACCACAACAGAACGCAAAGTAATACCGGGGGTCTGTGAGGTATGGAATGCCCCTCTGGCAAGGTGAATGCGATGGCTTTCTCTTAAAAATAAGGGTCTTTTTCTACTCATACTTTGAATTTTTTGTGTACACATCTCTGAACTAATTAGAATTAAAGTGAATTTACGTGGATTAATTTGAAGTAACATGAAATAATTTGAATTCACGTTGAATTAATCGGAATTAAAGTGAACTAATTAGAATTGACGTGAATTAATTTGAATTTGTTTGTATTTTTATATCACTTCCAAGAAACACTAACTTTCGTAATTATGAGTCAAACTTTATAGGTTGGGGTAGCTTATAAATATCCCTGTCAAGTTTGTGAATTCACACCAAAATCCACTTCTATATGTTAAAAGGCTGTAACTTTTCCTAATTGTAACCAATTATGATTAAACGCTATAGCGTGAAGAGAGATGGAGAGGGGGGTGAGGGTTCCTATCGAATTCGTCTCGTCCAGGACTATCAATAGCACGTCTAGGAGATCTTGGAAATCCTAGACATGCGTACGAGGATAGCTTAGGTTACAGTGACCCTATACAAGACAGTGGCGACATTTGTGCCCGTCCGCCATGTTGTGGCAAATTCAAACATAGAAACCTTGATTATACGATGTGTGTAATTAATGATAGAATGTATTATAATAATGAGTTAAAAGTAATTACCGCTGGTAGGTATACTTTAATAATTGATGATATTCAACACAACTTGCAGAAAACCTCGAAAAGGAAAAGGGAATTGGTCACGACCAGCCAGGGGAAACGGGCCTTCCTGTGCAAAAATCATCGAGATTTGCCAATTTGGGCGCCAGGCGTGCACAAGTCACACCAAACAGTTAATACAAAATATAAACTAGAAATACAATAAGAATATAAGCCTTGTGAATCCTCGGGCACAGGTCGGTATTTACAAACAATCTCGCCTTGGTAATGAACAATCCAGATACACAAATAATATTTAATTGCATAAGACAGTAAATAAATTAGCAATTCTGGACAAGGATATTCTTAACTAAATCCAAACGTTCAGCCCTGCTAATCACTTATAAAGTAGGTATAACTGAATTAGCTCGCGTTAACAGCAACGACAAAGGCAAAGATAAACTAACGACAACTAACGATTACTTGCACGTTTGCAATTTCCAGTAGTTTCCTTGGTGATTCTTCCATCTTAGATACATTATAATGGATCAGTTCCAGCTGATCGACAGGTAGCACTCTTGAATTCGAAAACGAGTATTTGCATTTCATCCAGAAGACGTTAATTCTTTAATACGGTCACCCCAATGCTCCTAACGTACAAAGATATATACAAAAACTGCAATGCCAAAATCAGATCATACTTACGTACCCCATTAATAAATGGGTTTTAGATTACGATATAGGTAAGACAAAGAAAGCTAATTAAAATATTAAAACAAAAAGAAACGTGTTAACAAAGAGGCATTATATGAAAATAACTTTACCTCAAGAGAATTACAGCCCTGCTCCGTTCACGTAAATACACTTACATAAATAATTTAAACAGTTTTAGCGTGACGACTTTGAAAATCATCCACTCAGAAATCAACTTTTCGCGCAAAAATCAAATCTGTCATTTTAATGACAAAAGCAAAAGTGATATTTCTCTCAATACCAATTGTGCTAAATACTCCAAACACTAGGAGCGCATTGGGTGAATCGCCCAAACCAAGAGTACATTCAACGAAACAACGGGACGTTACAAAGGATCCCACTAAAACATCGATAAGGGAGTCACGAAAGAAGTAAATAGTTTGCGAAAAATGCAAAAGTAGGATTAAAGAGGAGGACATTGTAAGAATCCAAATACAAGAGCGCATTGAGACTGCCAGCGACTTCGAAACGTTAACGGACGTGGCACAGAGGGCGCCAGAAGACTATACGGCACCATCGTTAAGGTAGCGAATAAGCTACTGGAAGCAGAACAAATGCATTAACTGCAGCATATATGGACAGCGTGCCAAACCAAAGGGGGGGAGAGAGGTAAGCCTCCCGAAGCAGTGGCCATATTTGTCCAAAATGAGTCCAAATCATATGCGTAGCTTCTGGAAGGGGCCAGGAAAGCCCTGGAGGGCAACGAGAAGGGTCTTTGAGGGCTACTAAAAAGACCAAGGATGGACACCTTAAACTAATCTGCATTAAGAATAAGAGACATGTAAAATCACTGGAAGAAAAGCTCCTGATCGATCTTGGAGAAGGGGACCAGTGCAGGGTACAAGAAGAGAATTTTTGAGCCCATTTTTTTAACTAGAAAAAAATGTCCTATTGCTTGCTTTTTGTCCGTCCGTCTATCCATCCCTTCATTCGGACCCACTTCTGCCATTTTGAACTACTTTTAGGGGGTTGTTCTACAGAAGCGGATCTATCTAGTGGTGGTCTAGAGGTGGGGACTACACGTTCTACCCTTCATGGTATTATTAATGATAGGTCTTATCAAAAGGAATTGATTTCCACCAACTATAACTTTCCCCCCCGACTCCGTTAGGACCTTAGTTTTTTCGAGGACTAGTTTTTTATTCCCCATCCACTTGTTGACAGTTTCTATTGCTCGTTAGAGGTTTCTCACTGAGTTTGAAAGTTTCCTATTCTGCGCTACGATGGTGATGTCATCGGCGAAACTTATAACCGTACTTCCCGGAGGTACCTTGATGTCCAATATGCCATTGTATGTGATTGTCCATAAGGTTGGGCCGAGCCCGATTTTTATCGCGTCTAGTGTTGTCTTTCCTTTTCGGAAGCCATATTGTCTCTTTGATATCAGGTTGCTAATTGCCGCCTCCAGCCTATTTTTAATTTTTGTTTTCAAATATTTGTCCAGAGAAATCAAGACTTATCGGCCTATGTATCCTTGGTCTTGGAGATCAGTGCCAGCCTGCACTGTATCCACACTCTCGGGTATTGTCTCTGCTTCAAATATCATTGGCAGGTTTACTCAGATCTCTGGTTTTCTATAGTTGCGCATTTACTGATTGTAGACGCTTATTCGGGCGTTCCCGTGCCGCTGTAATCACCTCGCAGTGTGCAACTTCCTCAAATTCACTTTGTTCACTCTCAATGGGTTCGAGGGGCTCACGCTTAGGGAAGAGTTGGTCAATAGTATGCCGCATAGTCCCTCTTGGAGGTTTTGGGCGAGCCCCATGCCGGGAAAGCGATGTTAAAATCAGTGGCTGCTATTGACATTCCCCGCCCTTGCTGGCGTAACTCAAAATATCACCTTGTAACCCAATTGTTAGAAATTTTGAGTTTATATCAACCTTTTCCCAATCTTGACTATAAACAAAAACCATACTTGAATCGGAAACGCTTTTGATGCGATTTAAGCATCGTCTCCACGTTACCAAACTGGTCCCTTGCTACTAGTAGAATTGTCGTGGGTTGCACTTTTCACGTTGGGCGTTACAATTATAAGGAAAATGATTGTTGCAATATGTGTGTTTATTGGAACATCCTGTATCTTTACCTATGGATGCAATTGATAGAAACATTCGTCCTTCTGCTTGCTTCCCAAGAAACATCGTTGTAATTATGGTAACATCCGCGAACAAACCCTAATTTGTGGCTATTTTCTCACCGCCACATACGAAATTTACAGAGGATGTCAACAGTAAACACTATTTTGCATTGATTTCGTTTGGCAATGTGCCGATTATTTAACCTCTCTTTAAATGAAATGACGAAATCTTCCTTTGGTAATAAATTCATTTTAATGATTCATTTTTATTCAGTTATTCTGTAACCCAGTCCTCTGGTTTCTTTTATGGAAAATCATTTGAATTTTCTAATCTTTCACAATGTACACATTTTCGTATGAAGAATATTTTTAAGATGTTAATTCGATGTTTAATATTTGGCCTTGGTTTTGGTGACGAAAATGAACGGCCGTTCAGTGGGGTTCTTCTGTATATAAGTGTTATTAACGATCTACCAGATTAGTGATATCAGCTCGAGATAATAATGAAGACATTTGTGGTAAGTTGTACGTAAAGTCATTTTGAAAAGTTTGGCGTTGTGGTCTTGCAGATTGTATTGGCTTTTGCCATCGGGAGTTATGCGCGTCCTGATGTTTCTCATTTGCCTACTGGCAGCTATTTACCGTCTGGGTCCGGACTACAAAGTAACATAGATTACAGTTCGGGAAGTAACTTTGGTGTAAGCTCAGAATTCGGCCCCCATGGCGGATACAACAACATCCCCCAAGAGCAAAAGCATATCTATTTTTTCGCCGCTCCGGGTGAAGAACACCTCGCTCGTACTCGCATCAACGTCGTCCCAAGCTCACAGAAGAACACGAAGATAATATTCATCAAAGCACCAACTTATGCAGCCATCCAGCCCGAAGTTATCGCACCTCCATCGATATCTGAAGATAAAACCCTGGTCTACGTCCTGCTCAAAAAACCAGAAGCAGCAGGCCAACTCACCATCCCAGTCAGTTCTTCACTCAAACAGTCTAAACCCGAAGTGTACTTCATTAAGTACAAATCTCAACATGACGCCGCGTCCGCCATACACAACGGACTTGGCGGGCAACCCGTAGGATCCTCAGTCTCCGAAGTTGGAAGCGAGTCGAATTTTGTCAGAACTTTAGATTCTGGTGCTCATCATGGAGGTACAGATGGCTCGTTCACTAGTCAAGTATCCAGTACAACAAATTTTGGCGGTAGCAGTATTAGTTCTGGAAGCAATTTTGGACCTGCTGGAGCTAGCGGCCCGTATTAAATTTTATTAAAAATTAAATCATATTAAGGTGTGTTCCACTTATGGGGATTATATTTTTTATTTATTTGCATGTGTATAATTGGGTCGTGAGCGTAATGGTTTATTCACCTTGCGCCGTTTCTTATGTAAGGACGAAAACGATGCGGTTCAAGATCAAGGTCAACTCATTTCTCTTTCGTTGCAAGGTCAAGGTTTGTTTATGGTACTTGATTTTAAACTAAAGAGAAAGTCTGGGTCTAATTGTGATTGAAGCCTGCTTTTAATTCCTAAGAAGTAACGCTTATATGCAAAAGTAATTGGTGCTAGGTGTATCGTATAAACAGTCGCTCTCAGTGATGTTAATAAAAATAGTACAATTGGGGGTCAGGGGAAAATATATATCAAACCAAAAAGCGATCGATCGTAGGGTAATCATTATTGATGTACTATGAAAACTAGAAGATTGATGTGAGGCTTATAAAGTATTCTTCGACGAAAGAAGACTAATGTTTTTGGGGTCGCTTTTGTTTCGACGTCGAGGCGAAATACTTTCGGCCTACCCCTCGGACGAGAGTGCTTTAAAAGTGCAGTAAAAATGGCCCGTTGAATTCTAGGCGAATCCACGGGAAAAACAGCGAAAATCTACACATGCCGAGGAAAATATGAAGATATAGAATATGGTTGAAGGTGACCCGCAACCCTCTTTTTCTACGCATGTATCAAATTCTGATCGTAGTCACCAGATTAATGCACTCGTCCCCAAAGCTTTGGCTCTCTTTAACATCCATTGATTTCCAAATTTATGTCTGATTACAGGTTTGTTGAAACGTAGAGTAAAAGAACAACTTTAAATGATCTTCCCAACCCAATGATATACTTCAAGGGCGAGATACAGTTGTTGGAGAAATTGGACTAAAAATAAGCTACATTGAGAAGGGTTTCGAATTCTCCGTCTTACAGTAAGAATGTCCAGTGTTACATACTCCAAAAGTCGTAAATTTCGTAGAAATTTCTTCTTCCTCTTATAATATCAATCGATCAACCAATCTTTATTAGACGCCAGCTTGGAAACACTTTTTACAATTTAACTTAAAACAAAATTAAACTAACATTTTTTCCTTTATTTTCTTTAAAATCCACGTTATCCACTTCTCGCCTCCTCTCCTCTCATCCAACGTCTCACTCCTACTTCCCCCTGTCATTTCCACCTCCGTACAGTTCCATAGCATGTGTTGTATGTCCTCTTCTTTCTCTCCGCATGTTCCACATTTTCTTCTTTTGTCTCCAATTCTCTTTCCCTTTCTCTTCATTTCCGCATTTTTATCTCGTTATTGTTTTAATATTTTTACCCAAAATGGTCCTGAACCCTTCATTTTCATGCCTACTTTCTGTCAGGAAATTATAGTTTCCATGACAGAGACAGAGCAGATTATGTTTCCTGCCGCTTGTCAGATTACCGGCCGCATTTTTGACATTTCCAAATGTCTATAATGACTCCTGTCATCACTGACAGATTGACATTAATCAAAAGTTATATATTGAAATTTTGTTTAAAAAATGATTTCGGGTAAAATTTAATACAAAACTCGTCAGTAAAATGTCATTACCTGGTTGGGAAATTAAAGTTCAATATTTCCTCGCCAGTAATGTATCATTTTCCTGACTTGTATGTAAATAATTGCTTAAATTGACAAAAATTACCATTATGAATTGTACCAAAATTTCCAAACAATCAACCAAAATGTGCAAAAAAGTTGTCAAAAGCATATTCCCTGTTAGGATAGAGAACGTTTTTCGAACGTTTAATTTCTTTTATTCTATAGCAGATGTTAAATTTCCATTTTGATAGATTTGAATGAGTATACCCTTTCTTTAACGGTAGTAGATAAAATGATCACTTTAACGGCACTAAACAATGATTGCTCATTCTAATGACACCTGTAGTTCTTTTTAAAATGGAGCGCGGAACACAAAATAAACTGAAGTTCAGAACCGAAAATAATATTGTTTCCATGGCAAGGAAAGGTTAGGTTAGGCAGCTTACTATTTTTTACGTCTAAATTACGTGCAGAATTTTCAGAAATTTTATAATGATTTATATGTCTTCTGCTATAAAATAAAAGTTTTGTATTTATACACGACGATAAAGAGAAACTAACCATTTCGTGAAAGGTGGTTAAAACATCCCTTTATCGTCTTGCATAATAAATAACTATTTTCTACACTTGTGCTTGTCAAGGAACTACATGTCTGTAATTACTAATTTTGTCATCCCCGTGTAGGGACGGGTAGTAGAATATTCCTACTGCAGGGGCACTGCATGTCGTAAGAGGCGACTAGTCAATGGCAATGTGACGGGACGTCTAACAGGATGCATGTTGTGTTTCGTAGGGTTTGATTTTTCTCTTGGGAATTTTCTTTTTCATTCTAAATAAAAAGTGTATACCTATAAAGATATATGTAATAGATTATTGACGCTTTTTGGGAAAACACTAAATGCGTAGTAATATCTACCGCACAAGCGAAAAATAAAAAAACTAAAAATTCCATCTTTTAATTTAAGAATGACTTCCTCTTTTTCCCCATGTCCATCCTTGCCCCATCTTCACCTACTTTTCCCTGTTGGGTTCCTCTTTCATTACTTTCCTTTTTCCTATAATCTTCTAAATTGAATTGATATTGATATTCCGGACAAAGTGCAAAGTACAAGTAAAACATATAAGGCAACTCTTACCTTGAATAAAGTTAGACATTGACGCCAAGAAGTGAGCTCAGTTCTAAAATTCAAACCTGAAAACAATGAAAAAGAAAAAACCTCCTAAGCCGCAGGGCTCGGTATATGAAGGGGCGATCAAAAATGAGTGGCGGGTGACTCGTCAGCAACTCATTTTTGATCGCATAGTATAATTAGCTGAAGAGTCTCGAACTACTCGTAATCTGCTTCTATACCAGGTACAATACTTAATTTTCCATCCCAGGGTCCATCCCCTTGAGAAGGAAGTGGTGGTCTCCACGAACACTCGCGTTTCAAACGCTTTATAGTAACTTTCAAAAGGGGGTTATACTTACTTACTAAAAGGGGGAAACAACACAGACTACGAGATCCTTGTTCTGGTTTTGACAAGCTAAAAAAATAAAATACCCGATAGCTCGGATAGGACATAAACAATAATTGACGTCACCATCGAGAGTGATTTAATGAACGATCTCAAAAGTATTACAAATAGGACACTGTAATATATAGATATAGATATGTAGATCCACAGGTAGTCAGAGCAAGTATTAATATCAAACAAAGGTAAAACTTCGATTCGATTGTATCGAAGGCCAGTATGTAATCAAAGGTCGTAACGGCACGACCTTGTCGAGCTCAAGAAGGGCGCGTTCTGCCTAACCTGTAACAGACAACAAGATAAACAAACAAAATAAAAGGGGTAGTGAATAGCGCGGCACATAACATATTACATAAGCTATTCTAATTGAGGCAATCGTATATAAAACCATAATTAATACGATAATTAAGACGCAGTGGTTATGGTATACAAATTGAGCACATTTTTTTTACTATTATAATTAATTATGATTTTTTAGTTTCAGTTTGAAACCGTTCTAATAAGCATAGCTGGTTTGGTAATAAAATCCAAGTCCCTTTCAAGTTTGGAAGGTTCATGTTATAAACATAACCAACTGTAATCAAAACTTAACTCGTGGCTCCTCTGCTAAATTTTCTTGAATCCATAAATAGTAAATACTCATTAAACTTACAGCAGTTTAGAAATTTTGTTTAACTGTGGGATACTGCACAAAGAGTAATATTTAATATGCTTCCATATGAAATGGTTTACAACAGACGGGGCCTCGCGAAGATCAAGCGCAAGATGTCTAGTATAAACGGATTTTTATTTTTAAAAAATGGGTTATTCAAAAATTCCAACCAAATTAAAAATTCACTTAGACAGTATGATGAAGAACATTATCGTGTACTACTTTTTCTTTGCAACAAAATCCAATCAAACACTTTAAATTGAACTCTAATTCTTCCATCTTCCGATTAGCTCAATATCGGAACAAACCCACCCCGTTCATATAAAGCTGCACTTAAACACTACTAAACGCAACGCACAATAGAGGAAACTGCGCCAGTAGATGATTTTTGCAATTTACTCGTGGTATCTTGGCCAATCATGTTATACTCAATTTTTATATTGCATCTTTCGCAAATTTCTTTTGGCTAATTTATAATTTTTTTTTCAATAATACGCCAAATTTGTAAATAATGGAAGATATTTTTATATTCTTGATCTTTAACCTTTTTTTTATTGTCAACTTGACACCCCGCCGCGTGTTATGATCGCATCTATTGCAAAAGTTCACCGTTGTAAACCGTCTTTAAGGCTTGTTAAAGATGTAAATGTTAACAATTACGGTTTTACTAGCAAGCTTATGTAAAAAGAGTAATAAAGCGCGTCATACTAGAAATTGTTTTATACGCCGTAATAATCTTGATCATTATTACAATAATGCAAGTGGACTGTATGAAATTTTAATTTTGTCATCGATAAAATTGAATGGTGTAACTTTGTTACGCAATTTCCCAAAAAAGACAAGTACAAATTCATCATTTAAATTGCCACCATCAACAATGAGCAAACGCATTTCTGTACTCTCTCCTCTTTTACATATTGTGCGTTAACAAAATTAGGAAGTTGGGTTCCAATTTTTCCTACTCCAATCGAATTTTTCTTGTCAATTAGTGGATTGACTTTGGGAGGGGACGTGCAATTTTTGTATATATACAAGGGAGTGTATGCAACGAGTATTGAGTTTCAGCTTTGTGAATTACAAGGTACAATGAAATTTGTAACGGTAAGTGCTAATGAATGAGTTTTTCAAGTGTGGTTTATCATGTGAATCTTAGGTCATCTTATCGCTGGTCGCGGTAATTAATGCCAGGCCGGACGTGTCGCATCTACCCACTGGTAGTTACTTACCATCGGGGCATTTAGGTGAATCGTCTGGACAGTTTGGCAGTATAAGCAGTTTGGGCGGCCAGTTCGGTGGTGGTCAGACCAGTTTTGGTGGTGGTCAGGCCAGTTTGGGTGGACTAGGAGGCCAGAGCAGTTTTGGGCAGACAAGTTTCGGTTCTCAAAGTACGTTTGGAGGTGGTAGCTATGAAGGACATACTGGAGGCATAGGCGTTGGAGGTATCGGTGTGGGTGGAGGTTTCCAAGATCAGAAGCACGTCTATTTCTTCGCGGCACCTGAAGAAGAAAGCTCAGGCCGTCTTCGCATTCAAATTGTGCCCAACTCCCAACGCAACACTAAGATCATCTTCGTCAAGGCACCATCTTATGGAGCCGTACAGCCCGAAGTTATCGCGCCACCTTCAATTTCTGAAGACAAGACCCTTGTCTACGTATTGGTCAAACGTCCAGATCACGGTGGATCTATTTCAATCCCTGCTGGTGCCGGCGTCAAAGCCTCCAAACCCGAAGTTTACTTCATCAAGTACAAGAGTCAACAAGACGCTCGTCAGCTAATTTCTGGTGGACTTCAAGGGCAACAAGTCGGTGCTAACGTTCCCGATTTAGGAAACGAAGCCAGCTTTGTAAGAACATTAGATAGCGGTGTCTCAAACGTGGGACTCGGTAGCACTAGCTTTACGTCGGGAACCTCTCAAGGAACTAGCATCGGATCTATAGGATCTCACACCTCCGGATCCCATTCCAGCGGCATATTTACGAGTGGTACATCGGGATCGAGTCAGTACGGACCTGCGGGAGCCAGCGGACCTTACTAAGGCCATTGTAAACGTGTATACTGGGTATTTCTCATTTTGCAAACATAATTTGCGAGGTTGGGGATCGTCTATGTACCTGTTATATTTATATAAATAAAGTATTAATTATTACCTACCTGTTATTATTATCCTTATATCAAGCAACTTTTACATTTGACACTTTTGAGTATATTGGGTTTGAAGGCCTTCAGTAGACGGTTACGACAAAGAGATAATTAAGGTGCTAATTTATTATTCTAATTCGAAATTTAGTATAATTTTCAGAGTTGTAGCATGTACTGGTAGCTACATTACATTTAACAGACCAAGTGACAGAAAAAAAACTAATTAGAGTTCCATTCAGAGTTAATAAGTGCCAATTAGTTGCCTCAATTCGGAATTAGTGCCGCCGATAGAAAGGAGCAACAATACAAAAGGTATTCAGTGCCCCACTTTGAAATTTAGTACTTTATTGTTACAGCTACAGGCTACAGTAGGTTCTGCTAGCTATATATACAGGGTGAAACAATTAATTTAATTTAATTTTTCTCGGTAGAATGAAATTATGCTTTCCGTATTCCTCTTTTGCAAGAATTTGTACCCCAAGCGCAACCCTAAAAGGGTCCGGGCAGAAATTCTGAACACGAAAATAATACAACCAGGTTTAGTTTTTGAAAAACTCAAAACAGTTTAACTGCGGTATGTACCGTGTGTCCTACTTTGATTGAGACTTGCAGTGTATCTCGGCGTGTTTAAAGATAGAGACTTGCGGGTTTCACGACCCTATGCCCCTTTTTTGTGAAACTTTAATGCCACAAACAAAATCCAATCTAGCTACGTTTGTTTCTGAGATACAGGGTGAAAACGAACAGTTTGACTTTTGGGATCTTGTCATAAAGAATATAAATACTGTCTATTTTAGATATTTTTACGTAAAATCCAGTTGTATTAGAAAAAATGTTTAGACCACAGTTTCTGATATTAGACCCAATGTTGATATTTTTTTAAATGCAATAGCCTGTATAACTTACCGTTAATTTGTTCGTATTCTTTTTCTTAATTCCATTGGTATATCTCAACCTATATTTTTTTTTATTTTAGCCGTGAACCAAAAATTACAACCTTATTTTATTACAGTGTTTAAATAGTAGGCCGTGGATTCATGGAGATTTTGTTTTGTTTATTGTATCCATGGTAACTAAGACCAATCAATAAAAATCGTTGACGTAGAAGCACGTCATTTCAAAATTTTGAAAATTATGATATACAAAAAAGTATAGGTAGTTATACATTAATGTAATCAGGCAAAAAAGTGGAAAAAATTGACGTTAAGATATACAGGGTGTTGCATTTAAAAAATATCTTTGGGTCAAATCTCAGAAACGATGGTGCAACAATATTTTTTACTACGCCACTGAATTCTACGTAAAAATACCTAAAACAGGCAGGTTTGACCATTTTCTATCTTACATGGGTAGTAAAACGTGATACCGTCCCAAAATGTCAAACTCTCCGTTGTCACCCTGTATCTCAGAAACAAACGTAATTACATTGATTCTGTTTGTGATATTAAAAGTTTCACAAAACAGTGGCACAGGGTCGCGAAAACCGCAAGTCTCTATCTTTAAAAACAGCTACACAGAGATACACTGCAGTCTTGACAAAATTGGAGCACTCGGTATTTGCTATAGTAAACTGCAAACAATAAGACAAAAATACTTTCTGGATTTCGATGGAAAAAGCGCAAACCTTGTATGCAAAAACTGTTCGACAGTTTTTTTCATTAAATACAAAGAAATTGTACCGAGCAAGTTTGATTAAATTTTGACCATGTTTGTGGTTTGACCAAGAATTTCAGTTGAGTTTTCAAAAAGTGAACATTTTCATGTTGGAAAATCCGCAGAAATCAGGTAAACTTTGTCAAGATTAGATTTTTTCCGGTCTTCGTTTAGGGGTGCACCATCTTTGGGAAAATTTTTCTCAGGGGCTGCAAATCAGTGCGTAGATCTGAAACGAATCATTTTGGGCCTTGAGTTTATTTAGAAAAATATCCCAAAGCAAGCATTTTTTGTTTGCTTAATTGGTGCACTCTGTACATTCAGCACAATATATTTTTTACCTTTAGGAGAATTCTTAAAGCAAACCTCTCCTGCAATCTGAAATGTGACTGCAACATTCCTTGATCTTTTTGCTGCTTGTCAAATACATAAACACTGAATGGCCAATGGATCATACAGTCGAAAGGGCGTCATTATCGTTATACATGGTGGCAAATTTTTGTCTCGTATTTTGCGTTTTCTCTCTTTTGTTTTTTTATAATTGTTACAAATTCGATACATCAATTATTTTTTAGAATCTCTACAATAAAGTACTACAATAGTCGGTCGCAGTATACAGGGTGTTCCATTTTCTTGATTGATTTGATGATTGCTTGATTCATTAGCTGAGTTGCAAAAGTAACTAAATAATGCTAATTTACAGAGTGTAATTCTAAACCACACCCGGACAATGGGGCGGCAACTAATAATTTGGAACAAATAGCCTACTGACAAATGTGGGAACATGACGAACGCTCACTTTTATTCCAATCATCAATATAAAACTTGAAGCTAACCTGAACAATATTCGTTTGGAGGAACGTTTTCAGAATCTTGAACTTTTGCAACTTAACCCTTTCTGCTTCCAGGTAATTCGGCGGTGTTGATATAACAAAATTGGAAAATAGGTTAACCTTATCTGCACGTTAAGATATTTAGATACTTAGCACTGTAACGAAAGAATCGTTCCAAGAAAAACACCTCTCTCGAATATTGAATTCCTAGAAAATCGTAGTACACAACAATTGTTTATGGTCTACGTTCGATTTTCTAAAACTATTTTGTGTTTTTGTTATTTTTGTGTGGAAAAATTCACAGAGACGCAATTTCATCGAGAACAGATTTTTTTTCTCAACCCTGATTATGGGGTAGGCACTTTGGGATTATTTTAATTTCAACTTTTGGGGGCGTTACTCTCGCGCGAAACATTTCAGATTTCACATTTTTCATGCCTAGATTAGTATATCTTGTCCGCAATCATGGAAAGTATTTAAGAGCTCCCGTCTGCTAATCAAAACAATATGTTTCGACGTTTTTCCAACGAAATTGATGCAAAGTCTTGCACTAGTAACGTAATCAGAAAGAGATTAAGATTGACTTTTTCTTGCATTAACATACGTTGATTTCTTTGTGTATTCTCGGTATCTTCGATGGAACTTCTCAGCTTTTCAATGCACCTGCATATATATCCATACATGTTTAGAGTGCATCCGGATATGTTAACCAATTTCCGAAGAAATAGGATATCACGCGGATTTCTGAGGATGGTCAAAGTGGGTTGACTAATGCCGATCTCGCTTTCGGTTCGCTCTGAATTGGTATGAACACCCCACAAAAAGGCTTAAAATAAGATAACAATTTTCTAATAGTACCTAAACATTCAGAAGAAAATTAGGATATAATGTCATAACCAATTAGAACTACTACCAACTATATGGAAAGTTGTCTCAGGGCTTAGAACCATGAGGAGCCCCAAGTTTAAACGTCTAGTTGTTAAATTCGTAGGAACGTTTTTTCCTGTAATTTTTGGTATTGTCAATGCATTTCTATTAACAATTCGGCTTCAATGAACTCTCTAGTTAGAACGTAGTTTACGCACATTTGAAACCCGGATATACGTTTTAAGAGGGAAATTGACTTAAAAATTAAAAGCTGGGACCTACCTTCGTTTTTTCTCTACAAGGACTCCATCAGTTTGACGTTTATTTTTTTTAAATGACGGAATAGTATATTGGAAGACAAGTGTTACAATGTGACCTATTGTAATACGAGTGTCCACAAGATAGGAGTATTACAATAAAGCATTGTAACACGTGTTTTTCATACTATTTTTTCTATTTCGGGGCTTTAATTTAATTAAAAAGTAATTATCAAAAACTACAGGAAAATTTAGAATTAATATGTCTTAAGTTGGCAACACCATTTACGTTGACAAATTTTAAGTTGGCAGCGTAGATAAACACAACACTGACATTTGGAAACTTTAAATTCCGTGAATGTGTAATTTTTTACTCGTAGTAAATTTATTTATGGTGGATGTGTAAACTGTTGATTTGGAATGTATTAAGTTCTTCGTGTACCAAAAATCAAGGAAAACACATAAATTTTACGTACGTAATTTGATTTCACATCTGATGATTAGACGTTGACGTCTTGGCGAACTGCCAACTTAGAGATGAAAAGTTACCAAAAACAATGTTACAATGGAACTCATTGAAACACTGTTTTTGACGAAAACAAATGCGAAATTAAAAGAAAATCACCAAAAATAGATCCCGATAACATCGTTAGAAAGCTAATGAAATTTCTCATTTAACAAAAAAAGTCAGCAGAATTGCATTTGAAAAAATCAAGCTATCAATGAAAAATGCAAATCAATTTTTTTAGAAAAACTTTTAAAAAAATATATAAGTATCAATTTGCCCCCAAAACGTTCGTTTTAGATGCCAAATGTTATCCCATTAGTCACACTCGAATGCAAATATGCAATAATATACAGGGGAGTCCATTTAAACATTGCATCTTCGATATGAAACACTGTGTAAACGGGTTCCGATCAAAATGAAAATTATTTTAGGGTTGTAGCCATAGCCACCATGGCGAACTTCAAAAATGTAAGTTAATAAACCCACAAGGTTCCGTCCACACCGTCCTACCCTCTATACTTTACACTGGTATCTTAAAGGCACTCATATTTCAGAGACGAACCGATTTCAATTATACTATATTTTCATTCAACAGGTACATAAAATTCTATCGTAGCAATTAAACTAATCACGCAAAATTTGCTTAGTACGGGCCGCTTGCTCCTGCCGGTCCAAATTGACTCGATCCGGACGTTCCGCTCGTAAACAAGTTGCTAGAGTGAGTGTGGGATCCTATAGATCCGGTGGTGCCCCCTATGCCGGATACGCCACTATCCAAGGTGCTTACAAAACTTGATTCGCTTCCTACATCGGGAACGCTGGCGCCAACATGTTGACCGTGAAGTCCTCCGACAATTTGCTGTTGAGCATCGTGCTGAGTTTTGTACTTAATGAAGTAAACTTCGGGCTTGGAAGGCTTGACGCCGGCACCGGCCGGGATTGTGATGGCTCCACCATGATCTGGTCGTTTAACTAACACGTAGACCAGCGTTTTGTCTTCAGACACTGAAGGTGGCGCGATAACTTCTGGTTTTAGAGATCCATAAGATGGCGCCTTGACGAAGATAATCTTAGTGTTGCGTTGCGAATTGGGCACAAGTTGGATGCGAAGTCGACCTGAGCTTTCTTCTTCTGGTGCTGCGTAGAAGTAGACATGTTTTTGGTCATGGAATCCTGTACCATGTCCGTCGTGGCTACTTCCAAATGTACCATGAGACACACCAAAATTGGAGTGCCCACTTGACGAACCGAAATTGGAGTGCCCGCCTGACGAACCGAAACTGGTGTGACCTCCGCCAATGTGGCCACCACCGAAGTTGTTTATGCTTCCAAAGTGTCCAGAAGATGCGCCTGCAAGCCCTCCTGGCAAATAACTCCCGCTGGGTAGATGTGAGACGTCCGGCCGTGCGCTTATAACCGCAACAAGCGATAAAACACCCTGAAATTATAACAATAAATAACTTAAGATCAACTAAATCGCACTTACCGTTATCAATTTCATCGTACCTGCTCGATAATCACAAAACTACAATGGTCCCTACAATTTCTCCCTTGTATATATACCAAAAAATCTATCCTAAAATTTCCCCTCCATAATCAATCGGTAACCATTTGGAAAGCGTGGGAAGAATTGGGACTCGCCAAGCTTCCTAATTTGACGCAGAATTGTCGAAAGAGGAAGAACTCCACGCATAATAGGAAACTTTAAACGTTGACCTGCACATGGTGGTCATTTACATGATGAATTTTTACATGTCATTTTCGTTTGTTGTGCAACAAACTTACGCAACTCAATTTTAATTGATGATAAAATAAAATTTGATGTCGTACATTTGAATTATTGTATTGTAAAGCTAATAAAATTTCGATGAACATGTAAATATTCCATCTAAAAAATAATAATTTGTCTGTCGTAGTGTTATCGCCTGTGGGTAATTGAAGATTTCTATTATTGTAATGCGCTATGAAAGAAACATCGGTTATTTCCTTTACACCGTTACAATTTATTTATGGGGAATGAGATGTACTCAGTTTACTCGTTACCCTCTTTAATACGGAGTTAATTTCAATGCTCCGTCAACAAGAAAACAAATCAATCTAAACAATTTCGATCAACCATGGTAAAGACATGGGTAGAAATCAAGAAGGTGGTGGTTACCTCACATTAAATATGCAAATCGTTGCTTGAACGCTTATTAAGTTTACATGCCGTCTTTTGGGGTGACTATTGAGGTCCTTTAACCCTCGTGTCTGCTGGTAAAACTGCATTTTGCTTTAGGCCCTTGGAAGCAAATTTGCTCGCAATACTGGAAAATTTATCGCTTAGGATCAGAGCTGGGCAGAATACTTTCAAAAAGTATTTGAATACTAAATAGTAAATACTTTACACAAATCAAAGGTATTTGAATACTAAATACTTTTACGTCCAGCACAAGCGAATACTAGATACAGATACATTGAAAAGTATTCAAATACTTAAAAAAATAAGTATTCAAATACTTTAGAATGTATTCGAATACTTTCAAAAGTATTCGAATACTTTCATCTAAAGGTATTCGAATACTATAAAAAGTATTCGAATACTTTGAAAAGTATTTCATTATCTTACTTTGAAAAGTATTCGAATACAGTAAAAAGTATTCAAATACTTGTCACTCAAATACATTAAAAATTTAAAATAGTATACTAGATAAAAGTCTTAATACTACTTAAAAAATCAAGTTATACTTTGTATGGGGTTAGCTTTTTTTGTATTTCTATTGTTATATACAAATTTAAGGGGAGTAAAAGCGTAATATTATTATTATATTATTATATAGGAGGTACCTACCAGGACCTTTCTTATACCAGTTATATCCTTAAGAATGCGTGTACCAGTTTTCAAAGCGTCGTGCACATGATACGTTCTCCTTTCTGAAATTAATCCTAGCGATTTTGGAACAGATCCTTTATTAACCATCCGTTTGTCCGTGTGCATGATAGTTTGTTTAAAAACGTGCGATCGCTTTAAAATTGGTACACATAGTCTTAAGGATATAAGAAAGATCCCTATTGTTTTTAAGTTACGTAGACTATCGAGTCAAAAAGTTTCACTCCAGGATCGTTCGGTATTCAGTTGTATCGGATTTTTATATTTGATTTTGTGACAATGGAAACTTTCCCTAAACATTTCTAAATTGTTCTTAAATATTTGAATAACTTAAAAGTACTGCCTTTTTTTGAGGCCGGAAAAAAAATTGTCTGAGATCGACCGGGAAACATTTTCTTATAGACTTTGGCCCGTAGAATCCATAATTTCAAACAGTTTGAAGATTGGGCTACCATAATTTCAAACAGTTCCATCTACTAGTTCAAAAGTTACAGCCCTTTGAATTTTTTTTCGAAATTGGTTTCTAGTCTATAACTTTTGATTGAGAAGTCTGATCGAAAAAGTACGAATTGTTTTGGATTCTACGCACCAAAATTAATAAGAAAAAGTGTTTTCCCGAGAAATTTTGGTGTAGTCGATTTTTGGTAAAAAAGGAAGAAAATACTATGCGAAGTATTCGAATACTTCTACAAATACCTTGCGAAGTATTCCTTTACGAAGTATCCAAATACTTTGCGAAGTATTCGAATACTAAATATTTGTGAAAGTATTTGAGTTACAAATACAAATACTGCTTCCATAAAAGTATTTAATTACAAAGTATTTGAATACTAAAAAGTATTTACAAAATTGAATACTGCCCAGCTCTGCTTAGGATCCAAAACAATGACCACTTTTGTGAAAGAGGGTCTATAAGTGCATTATGTAAGATATACGTATGTAAAATAAAATTGAGTAGAAACGGGGACGAAATAAACATTTTAATCCAAAATCATTTCTTACAATTTTTCTAAATCGGGGAGGATTGTTCCGCCCTTGGTATGTGTTTTAGTTACCAACAAAACAATTAAAAAAGAAATCCAAATTTGGGGATATTTTCTAAACCAAATATTTTGGAACCTTCTCTACTTCTTTTATATGCTTATGTGTCACATCTTGTATTTATGTAAATGTGAGGGTTGCAATAGAATTTAATACGCATATTTTGGAACATTGAGACGATAAAATTTAGAAGCTACTATTCAAATTCCCTGAATGAAACGCTCACTTGACCTATTGGGACATTAGGGATTGTTAGTATAGCAATGAGATGCAAAGTGTAATAAATTAAAACGATGCCATATCGAATTTGCGCGTTTTTCGGAAATTCACTTTGAACTGCGCGAAAATGTCTGTTTCGTTTTTGATCCGACACCTTTGTATTTAAGTGAGATTTTGAAAAGTACTTAAAAAGAAAAAAGGGGAATGGCTAATTAGGTGCCAACAACAAACATTTAGTTCTTTAGCCGTTGAGCACAAAAAATTTTAATTTGGTTGGGGCTAACATTAAGCTACCCCCAATCAAATGATTTGGTTTGTTGATATGTCTTGTGTTTTTTAAATATTTTGTTTGTAACTATAGCACCTAATTAGCACTTAATTATACCATTTTTTTTGCAGATTAATTATTTTCCTACGATACTTTTATAGCTTAACGCTAAGTTAGCCACACTCATATAAAAATTGTTTTTGTGCCCAACGACCAAAGCATTACATTTTTGTCATTGGCTCTTAATTAGCACCTAATTCTGAAATGATTTAGACAAAAATTGGATTGGGGGGGGGGGCTAACTTAGGCATAATTTTGATTTTGACGATTCGTGTAAGTTCTCGAAGAATACTTCTTAAATCATTGGGAGGCGTTCATCGCTAATGAACCCAAATTGCTGCCAGAACCGCAAACGCAACCACCTCGACTCCCCATATTGATTTAAAACAAAAATATAAAGTTCACTATAAGTAAAACGAAGGACGAGAGGTGAATTTTCGCTGACAAGTCGGAAGTACGGAAATTCCGACCATTAATATCGCGTATAACAACCGAAGAATTTGTTTATAAAAAATGGGGTCGTTGCTTCACTGATTTTCACATATTCTTTTTACCGAATTTCACTTTAATATTTATTGACGTTCCATATCTCTTTCTTCCTCCTTCTTATTGTTCGGGTGGTTTGGTTGGGCACAGGGGATGGCCTCCAGATCGTAGCAACATTTGCTAGGGGATTTTTCCCGATTCATTTCTTTTTCTACACGCTTTCTCTATTTTTCCATACTACTATATTGTTTTTCTTTTTTTATGTTGAGCGAATTTTTCCTTTTTCCGATACAGTCTATCGTCTTAAGTACCAGGAGTGTGCAATTATAATAGAATATGAATTGTGGGGATGCGTTATCTTTCGCCTTCTTACGTGCCGGTACTTATAGTGTGTTCTCTGCGAAGATATCCAGGACGATACTATAATGGGCAATTTTAAATTTTGAAACTTTGGTAGTCGCACCTGATTTTGTTTATTTTAAACTCGTTACCATCACAATAAACATCTCAGGCATTATTTAAGAGCGTCGCGAGAGCTTTCGGTGCGCTCTTAACCTAAGATATTTCGCAACGACTTTTCCCACGTATGTGTTTATTTTGCTGATTAAAAAGTTAGGTCCTCCAAGAGTGCGTTCCATATAAAAAATGCTGTCGCGATGACTTATGGTCATCCCATGCCAAATTTGACAGAAATTAACTTGTACCACTAACCTCTTCATTAAATAAATAAATTTAATGAATCCAATCAAATATTATAGTCAAACCAACAAGAAACGCCAAAGAAATGTGGTGAAACAATGATTAATGTTTTTAATAATTCACTTTTTTTATTACAGTGACCTTTAAAGTTCTTCTAACTGACTGGAAGGTGGTCAGTAATATAAAAGCAGTCAAAAATCTTTCCGAATTTTTCCCAGGAACGGCCAGGTGCGATCTTCCTTTGTTGAAACAGTAACGTAGGAGATGTAATCTTCTAACATCGTTGGATACCATTGTGCACGTAATGATTACTAATGTCCCTAAGGAATTGATATGGGGGTGGATATCTGTGTGCAATTATAGAATATGTTGCGGCATCAAGAGGGGTTTGTGTTCTTATCCGCCATCGAATGCTCTTGATTAAATCGCGCGGTCGCCTCTAATTTATTATTTGACGTGAGAATTTCATCGTGATGATCAAATTATACAGCTTATGGCAAACCAGAAATGATTAATGTTTTTAATATAAAGTTTATTTGTCAGAAAGGATGGCATAAAGAAGTGAAATTCCGCAAAGTTATAAAATAAGTTAATGACAAATCACACGGTTATGTAACTGAGCATTATATTATTAATCGCATTGTAACAACCATTATTTAATAGTAATTTAAATTGCATTCCTCTGCCCACGTGTATGGGAGATTTATCTGCATAGCGAAAGTAAACATAGAAAATATGCCTAAATTGTATTCAACTAACAAATTGACTGGCACCTCTTCATATAGACTCTTAGCTACTGTTTTAGTATCTTCAGATCTAAACCAAATCAAAACGCTTAGCCGCATATAGGAAAAAATAACATAGAGAAAATTCTGTTTGAAAATTGGAATGCTTAATTGATTGTTGTAGTTGTTGTCCATAGAGTGTAAATAAGTAGAGGGTTTTGTGTGATACTAAGAAATTTAATGATTTTTTGGAATGGTTTTAAGGGAATGATTCACAAAATTTCTTTGTCTTTGGAGAAGAACCAGTGTATAACAAACTTTTTAAAACTTTATTTAAGGTGCCATACATTTTTGAAAAGACTAGAGACTTTAGAGAATAAAAGTGCGGAGCAATAATACAAGAATGATGAAAAAACTAATCGAGAATTGTAGAGTAACTGAGATCTCACGCAGTGAGACGTGCTAAATATAATAGGCATGACGAACAATTCTGCACATTTTTAATTTGTCATGTCGAAAGATGATAGTATTTAACAACCTTTAATGACAGCTACCACATTTGAAATGTGTGTTTGCAGGTAACTGAAAGTGCAAGTAAAAGTTAATAATGTGCGTGTTACATCTAATTTGTCAGGTCATCAGACGAAAAATGTAGGTAACCTTGTCTTATTTTGTGAATGATATTTTACATTAACCTTTTTTAATGGTGGGTAGTGTGTAAATATTTTTTTTAATTTGGAATTATGTAAAATTTGCGCAGAGATGATAGATCAAAACCTACCTACTTCTAACAGGTGCTTTGTGGAAATCGCCATTTGTACCTGTCAGCATTAGAAAGGCACATGCTACTATAATTTTGGTCATTTTTTAAAAGTGTCCCTATTTTTCTCGATTTGCGCGTTCAGTGAATTGTGAAATATGATTTAACACTTCTGATGTACCTATACGTGAGTTTTCCTAATTGCTTTTATTAAACGCGGTATGACACAATGAGGCAACAATAAAAAGTTGCCAAATCATTATTACCAATTCGTGGTCAATCGGTGAATAAATAAAGTAAGTAACCAGACCTACTAAGTTCTATTCCTTTGACTAACAGCTTTTCAAAAAACTTACCCAGAATGTTCATAAAAAGCAAGTTTCTCCGCTTTGAAAGTGTGAAAACCTAAATATGTTTACGTGAAAACCCATTTTTCTTGTCTCAACACTAGTCAATAAAAGTGGTATTACCAATTAACTTATTTTGCCTAAAAATAAGTGGGAACGAAACGGAAGATTGTGCTCTCAATTATAAAATCCTTAATTACCACCTTGGATTTAGGGTCAAATGCAAATGATATTGCACCAAAAAGCAAAAAATAAATTTGACGTTTGATCAAGGTGAAATTGTTTAGCATCGCATCGGTTAAGTTTTCGTCAAGAGCTGTTGATGATCTTTACTAATGATGGGAAGACTTATTGAAGAAGGTTTTTCCCATAAGTTATAGGTAAACAACTTCTGGGAGAAACCCCTTTTTTGCAATTTAGTATAAAAGACCACTTAAATTTGTGAGCCCTTATAGGTGCTTTAGTTTCGTGGGTCGAATGCTCGATATCCTGTTTACGTTAAATGTGTCACAGGTATCGTTATATAAGTCATAACCAAAAAGAGGCAGTTTCATTCCCCAAAACTGTTCACTACTTTATACTATCAATCTTTATTAGACGCCAGCTTAACAAAGCTTTTTACACTTATAACAAAATAAAACTAAAACCCATGTTTTCCCTTATTTTCTATAAAATCCACGTCATCCACTTCTCACTCTTCCCCCTTCATGCGGTACCTCACTCCTATTTTTCCTTGCCATTTCCAGCTCCTTACAGTTTAATAACATGTGTTCTATGTCCTCTTCTTTCTCTCCGCATATTCTACATTTTCTTTGTTCTTCACTTGTCTCCGTTTCTCGTACCGTCTCTCTTCATTTCCTCATCTGAATCTTGCTATTGTTTTACTATTTTCTCTCTCTCCCCACAAATATTTTGGTAACCACTCCCTCATTAGTTTTTTTTAAACACAATATTTGTTTCCTTTTTGAAGATCGGCATTGTTCGGGTAAACTGGGTCCTCTCCATACCACGTTTGCTAGATTTCTCATAGTTCCCTTAATTCTATCTGTGGCGAAAATCCAAGCCTTACTACCTATCTCGTCTCTGCCTGCTGCTTTCCCGTTCTTCAGTATTTTTTATTGCAGCTCGATCTCCTCTCTTCTTATCTCATCTCCTTCAACCTCATCTCTTCTTACCGCTTCCAAAGCCTCCTCTTTCTTCTGCTTTCCTTGTAGTAACTTGACACAATGTGGTTTTCATACGTCTAATTGTGCTTCCCTCTCACTTTTAGGTTTTTTTCTGTTCTCCCACCTTTTTCTCCTTATCTTTTTCTCTCTTCTGTACACTCTTTGTCACGCCACTCCTTTCTTTTTTTTCTCCCCTCCCCTTTGTTTCCACGTTATTACTCTCCTTTATGTTGCTCCACCCTTCCACTGTAGTCCCTCCTATTTGTTCTCCTTGTTTCTCTAATCTCCCTCTCTACAGTTCCATCGTCTCTTTTTCCCATAACCCCCTATATCCCCCTTTGTCTTTTCATTTATTGATCTTCCTTTTATATTCAATTGTGCCTATTTTAAATTCATGTATTTTTGTATTTACTATTGTCTAATCAATTACTGCCCTTCCTTTTCCCCCCATGCATGTCCCTATCTTCCTTCATATTTCCGTTTAAAATTCTCGAACCGCTCCTTTCTGACAATTCCAGTAACACATCCCCCTGTCTATCTTGATTTTCTATCCTGTTCCATCCCTATCCATTTTCCTTTAATTATTGTTCTGGCATTAAAATATTCCCCAATATAATTAGCCCCTCTCTTTTTAATCTACATATTTTCTATTTTTTAAGTCTTTCATTCCTTCTCTGTTATATATCGTTGTCACTTTCATTTTCTTTCTCCCCACTTCCACTCGTCTGATCTGTATTTTTCTCTCGTTTCATTCCTCCATTTCCTTATCCCTTTTTTCCCCTGTTAATATGCCTCCTTTTGCAAATTGGTTCTTGCATATACGAGTACTATGTTCATTTTCCCACCTTTCCTTTCCCGTTCCTATCCTTTCTCTTCTCACTAATCCTTTTTTCTTGGTACTCCATCTGTATTCTTCATCTTCTACCATTAGTTTCCTATATCCCCATCTTACTTTCTTGTCCTTTAATCTTTCCCTTTCCCCATTACAAGCTCGATATATTTTCCAGCGTAGAATCCTTTGGGAGGAAAGGAGAAATAAAAGGAGATATCCGTATAGAAAATGAAATGTCTACATTTTCAAAACTAACTTTAATTTTAAGCATCCTGTTTAGGCAAATCCAATCCACTCATCTCAATTCTAAGAAACGTAAGACTCCGAAGAATCATTAAGGTTTGAAGGTCTCGATGGGACTCTAGAATCTGAAGAAACGGAAAATGGGAAAATACAGATGCATAAAAATGTGAAGCGTCTAAAGAAATAACAGAATCCTAAAAATTAAAGCCCCGTAAAGAATCGGGAGAATCCGCGAAAATTGGAGAATTTGATGAATCTAAAATCTGACGAAATTGAAGGTATATCAGTATAAAACGTTATTTCAGTCTAAATGCCAAAAATAATTACGGGACATCTTGTATATATGGAAACTAAATGAGAAATTAATAAATGTACAGTCTCAAACTTAAAGAAGAAATGCATTCTATGAGATCTAAAAGTCTATAAGGGATGAATAAATTAATGAGTGATATTACGCTCTAAACTAGTTATTTATTAGGTTTATAAGACGATAAAGCGATATTTTAACCATTGGGGGAATTAACTTTCACTAGATGGTTATAAACTTTATTTTATAGCAGAAGCCGTTAATTGTAAAGCTTCTGACAATTCTGAATTTAGTGTAGACGTCAAAAATAGCAAGCTTAGGTTCTGCCGTCGCGGTCGTTTCCACACAAACAGCATTGTCATATGTTCTGAACGTCAGATTATTTCGTGCTCCGCGTCCCATTTGAAATAAGAATGACAGATGTCATTAGAGTGCATAAATTATCTGTTTTACCCTCGCGGGGAGAGTGATCACGGTTACGGTTAAAGAGTAGCCTAGTCTACTCATTCAAACCTAATAAAATGTCACTTAACATATGCTATAAAAGAAACGTTACTGCGCATTGTGGCAACCTTAAAATGCCCCTTAATGGGAATTTTCTGGGAAAATAAAATGAATTACCTGTTCAGGGAATTGTGGAAAAATTCCATTACATTTTCACAAAACCGCATAAATCTGTTACTTCTATCCTTCTATATGTTATGCCGCGAAAAAAGATTAAGAAGGGGACACATATTTTTGTCTCCAATATTTATCTAGAAAATGTGGGATATCCATTTTGTGCTTGCGAAAGAAACGTTAAAAAAATCACATTAGATATTAAGAAAATGATGGAATAATAATCTCATTTTATTGTTTGGACCGTGTTCTCAAGTGAACTTCTTACAGGACTGGATCCTTTCATTATCTTTTCGGCATATTTCGCGCAACATCTGCCATAACATCACGAATGTTGGCCTCTTTCGCATAGCCTCACAAAAAGAAAACCAGAGGCGTCAAATCGCAGGATTTTGGAGGCCGATCACCCAATCTCGAAATTTCTCTTGCAATAGAGCTCTAACTGCCAGTGCTGTGTAACTCGTTGCCCCATTCTGCTGAAACCACGTTCCAGATCATAATTTTCAATTTCTCCCCAAAAATAATCGGTTAACATACGGCCATAGTGGTCCGAATTGACTGTAAGTGCTGGTTCTAGGTTGTTCTCAAAAAGTAAGGACCGATGACACCGGCAGATCATAATTTCTTCTGGGTGCAAAGACCTTTCTGTAATCTTTTGTGGATTTTGGGAGCCCCATATATGGTAATTTTGCTTATACGTTTCCACAGAGCCAAAAATGAGCCTCATCGCTGAAGAAAATAATCGAAAAATCATCATTTATCTGTTGAGCCATCGCCCAATTTGCGGATGTTCTGTGTTGTCCATGGTCGGCAGGTTTTACTAATAGAATTAGTTGGATTTTGTGTGGATGGGCAACAAATTGCGATTTTTGCTTTTGCAAATCTTGTAAATTTTCAATCGGTGAAATGTAGATATAATACACACATCTTATGGCACAACTGGAGATTTTCTGCGTAGAAGATGCTTGTGTGAAATGTCAACATTTCGCATGCTTTCAAACAAATTACAATAAATTCCACTTTCTCCTGCACGAACCTGTTAATTAAGAAGCTACGGTTAACATAGTAACTTGAGGCCTCAAAAATTGCCCAACGGTTCTACAATTTCGGATACCTGCACATTGTTTCACGGCTGATGTGAGTAAATTTTCTCGGCACCTGAAACAATTTTTACGAAATCTCCGAAAGGTTACCGCTAAGCGTATTAGATGGATCCTTTATTGTTGCTAAATTGTTTAGAAATCATTAGGCGATGATTCGCGTTGTAATGTAGGCTAATAAATAACGCGTGTAAAGGAAGCGTTTAGTTTATTATTGGCAATTGTTGCCGGCTTCTGAGGCCTATTTGCATAATGTACAAAGCTGAAATGTACTCCGCAATTGCATGTTAAATATTATGCTGCATGTGCGTTACGTAATGTAAGGTCAATCTATAAAGATCAAACGATCCTCTCGCATTGTAGGTTGTGGACGCAGTAATAGAAATAGAGAGAAACGTTCTTTAGATTAGATAATCATAAAGTATTATTAGTTGGTCAATAACTGGTCTAATAAAATGTTTAGTACCATCGTTTTTAATTAGAGAGTGATGGGTAATTGTCCCTCGCTAAGTCAACAGTGGCTCGATTGAAGCAACTTTTCGAAAAACAGAATGTAACATTGATGTCAGAAAGGATTAAAATCCAAAATTTATCACACATCAGATCCCTGTTTATTAAATTAAAATTAAATTTTAATTAATTTTCAGAAAATGGAAGATGTCAGTCAGGCAAAAAATACATATATAGGTAAAATGATGCAATTTAATGGGTGTGACTCTCATAACAATGCATCTTTAAATTTGTTAACGTCTCGCGGCTTAAGTATAGAAAGTCTAATTACATATTACTAATGGTGTTTTCATAATATCACGGTTCTCACACGATTACACTACAACACCCATTAGTTACATTAATCCAGTATCACCGCAAAAAGTAGCAAACTGCCACCGAAACAAATTACCCATTATTGATTACCTCAGTGCAGAGAAATGGGGACGAACATTCACCGTCCTACTGCAGCCTTGTATCATCCGCATAATTTTTTGGTAAAGATTGATTAATTGTGTTTTTTATTTGCAGGTGGGTGGTATATATTAAAAGACTGGAATTTGGAGGACTTCGATCGCAACTCGATTATAACGAACCTTCACGTCAAGTATGGGGTGTCGCCCTTTTTTCGCGTATCAGTACAGCGAAACCCTCGAGTTCCTGATGCCTACTCCATTACGATCTCACCATCAGGATTGGGCCTACCGGATCGGTATTATTACTACACTGATCAGAATGATCCTGTAAGTGTGCCAAATATACTTTACATTCGCGATGATGATCACTTTTCGACAGATGAAGTGGGTACTCATGTCACCCTTTCATGTTTAATGTGTCATCTTCTTTCATTGATAGGTTAATTTATTCTATCAAAGCAAACGTTCCTAAATTTATTCAATTGTTGGATTTTTTGGTAAACTAATTCTTGATCTTAATGTAATTAATACGTTTATTGCCAAAAGAACAATAATAATCATCTGACAAACTGAAACTAACTTGATCTGATTTGATTAATCCCCACTCGAAATCCATTTTCTGACACCAAAACGCAACATTATCTTCACTACTAACTAATATAATTGACTTTCAGACAGTTCTTCTCTATAAGCTCTCTCAGAAAGTGGTGGCGAATATCAATATGCTTTGACCGTGTATGATACATATTGTTGTGTTCCAAATCTAAGGCACTTTTGTTATCAGAGTACAAATTCCAAGGTTTTTCTTCTGCCACACAAATTTCCGATGACAATTTCATTAACCAAACAATTTCTTGGCAAGTGGTGGAGAGTGACATATACTCAGCCTCGTAGTTGATAGGGCTACGGTTGCCTGTCTCTTGGGATTCCATGAGATACTTCCATTTTGATAAATCAAACAGTGACCAGTAGTTGACCGTCGATTATCCAAATCGTTGGTCCAATCAAGCTTTCCGGTCTTCATCATTTCTCTTGAATTCTAACTTAAAGGGTTAAGTTCCTTTGATTTCCTGGATTTCTGTTGAACTTTGACAAAGCTCCAATTTCATTAGAAATATCAAGTCTGCTGATTTGTGCTACATTTGCCTCTTGATAAGGTCATTCCTTCATCTCATTCATTTCTTCGTCGGTAGATGGTGAAAACGCCTTAGACAATTTTTGATAGGCATCCATAGGAACACTCTTACATCATTCATCCATGTAGAACATCTTCAAAATTTCTCAAAGGTAACTCTCTTGATCAATCCATCACTTCCCAGCTACTCTATCACGCGTAACTTCACCCCACGGATATAATCTACTTTACTTGGTTCCTTGGGTTGTAACTTGTAAACCATGTTGTTTGTAAAAATGAAAATATCTTCGACATATATTCCTACGTAAGTATTTACTTTCCCCGTGACGAATGTAGGCGCATAATGACGAATGAAGCAATTAAATCAGCTTAGATCTGGCTGCAACAAGTTTCTTTGCATCTTCTTCCTTGCCTTCAACAGCATTCCAAAAGTCAAACTTTACACCCTTAATTTTAGAATCAAAGTAGACTGATTCTGTTTGTGGTATTAAAAGTGGCACAGGGCGCGAAAACCGCAATTCTCTGTCTATAAAAACATCTGAAATACCCTGCAGTCTCAACCAAAATAGGACACACTGTATACATGGTGCAGATATTCCATTTTTTTTTACTAGTTTCGCCCTACTGATGGCAAAGCCCTAGCGGGGGTGACAAGCGCCCCCAAAATTTTAAATCCATTTCAAGTTTTTATTAGCCACAGACCCAGTTTCCCTAAATGTTTGAACCAATTCCGAAATATACTTACGATCGACCTGTCGATTCTGGTGTTGTAACGAACTAGGCAATTCTATTAGCATTTTCATTGTTCGCAAAAGAAAGAGAAATTATTTCAACTCTTTCAGCAAGTGAATAAACCATCATCACTGTTCAATGTACAGGTTTTGCAACTAAATAACTTTTATTTGTTACTCAGTTGTAAACGTTGATTAACAAGACAAAACACAAACGGGTAAACGTCATGTTTAAACGCTACTGACTTGTAAAACTGACAGCTGACCTGTAAAAATTTTACAAGTTAGTAATCTAGTAATTTCATTGGCCAGAATTAATGCGAAGTCTCTGTTACATGGATAACATGATATTTTAGACATTTCTTCGAGATCAATTTAAGAACTGATTATTTACGTTTACTATTGTTTACAAATGAGTAACAAATAAAATATTGTACATTATACGCCAGGTAATAGTTTTTACTGGCTCTAGGAGATGACAGGCTCGCCTAACGGCTCGCCAGTCAACTTCTCCTATCGCCAGTAAAAACTCACTTACCTAGCTAATAATGTAAAATACTATAAACCGCTATTTGTCACTATTATGATTTGACAACAGTAATTGACATATAAAACTTCAAAATGCTGCTATAGCTCTCAACAATAAGCAAGATTTCCGTTGCAGAATTGGCATAGGTACCTACCAGTATTAAAAAGAAAAAAAACAACCACAAAAAGTACGGTTCAGAATGTATGAGAACATTTTTTGTATTTATTGCTGTATGTTGTTTAACTAATTCATTTACAAGCATTTTTTTTATAAGAAAATGTTGATACGTTTTTGTAACTTTTATTGACCCCTGTATCGGCTAGGCAAATTAGTAGCGATGTAAAACTTAAGGGTTAGGTATAATCCACATAAAAATACCTTCAAAATAAGGTAGCACTTTGATTTAAAATTTTGAGAGAGCTTGTCACCCCCGCTATGGCTTTGTCCTCAGAGGAGCCAAACTAGCAAAGAAAAAGATTCTCTCTTGAATCAAAAATTGAGGGTCTGAGGATTTTTTCGTAAATGTTTTGAGGTCCCAAAGTAGACTCTGTCTCGTTTTAAAATGGCCACTCTGTATACAGAAACAAATAGGGAGAAAAGACCGAAATTATGGGAAAACAAAAGATAAGTTTTAAAAAAATTTCTTAATGCAATTCTTGTTTGGGAATTTTTAAGCTATAACAGAAATCTCCGGAAAGATTAAGGAAAGACATCTTACGGAAAATATGAGGAAATTTCGGGGAATTGAGAAATACAACGACATTTTGAGTGAATACGATAAAAAATCCCTGGCGTAGTATAGGGACATTTTGTGGAATCGTTTATAGATTTCTTTACTCATGGTGCTCATATATACCTACTTTTCAGGGGAGTAAACCGTTTATAGTAAATTGCTGCTTACTTATTAATTTTTTGATGGTTAGAGACATCCGATCCTGGGTTCCGTACGGCAAAGTCGGTGTGAAAACCGATTTTTATGTTCCATTTCTTACTTATATCCTACATTTCGAGAAACGCACCTCTTTATCCCCTTAAAGTTGTGGGACAAAATTAATGAACTAAGCAATGCAAGAAACACGAATAAATGAAAATATGACAATTTTTGGTAAAGAAGGAAATTTTTGTTCCATAAGAGTCTGAAATGCAAAAATGAATAAGGAAATAATTGGGAAATTGCAAAATCTTGTCGGTATACCGGGTGGTGACTTGAACAATGCACCCTACGAATTAGTATTTTTTTCATTTCTGATTATTGACTTCCCTAATTATTTTAGAAATAAAGTCTATTCAGGTTTTTTGTAGAGAAAAGAATTACGAATCCGTACATCTATTTTATAAACTCAAAAACAGTAATTCAAGAAACTTTAAGGAAATTAAAAATTGAAATTAGTGCCCCGAAAAGCTTGGTCTATGTTTAAAAGCAACGCAAAATTGAAAAAGTGCGTCCTACTCTTGGTGAAAGAATAGAAAGAAAAGAGTGTGCGGAAACTGTGAGGAATAATAGAAATAAAGGAATTCTGCAGAAATATAATGGCATTTTGGTTAGGTAATTCTGGCCAAATGTATGAATTTCTGGAGGATATAAAAATAAACGATTATTTTCAAGGAAAGTTTAACGGGAATAATAGAAAGTTTGTGGAAATTATGAGTACCTACCTGTATTTATTCGATACCCAGATACTTCAGGAACTACACTTTACTACACTTTGATCTTAGCCATAGGCCGAGAAGCGACGTGTGGTTAATGAAGTACCTATAACTGAGAAATTATATTCAGCGAAATTAAATGAAATTCTAGAGAACTATAAATACATTTTGGAGAAAATATAAGGACATTTTGGGGAAGGAAGAAATTCTCGGGAAATATGACATTTTGACAAAATCAAGGGAAACGCGCGATCAAATGAGAAAATTTTAGGGAACCAAAAGAGAGTTTTGAAGAAAATATTCTAAAGGTGGTAACTTCTATGTAAGAAAACAAATTGTTCCCCCTAAAACGTGTCGATTCGGATTATACACTGCCTTTTTTTGAGCCCCGAAAAAAAATTGTCTCGGATCGACCCGGAAAAAATTTTCTTATAGAATGTGGCCTGTAGAATCCCCAATTTCAAACAGTTCCAAGATTGGGCTACTAGTTCAAAAGTTACAGCCCTTTGAATTTTTTTTCGAAATTGGTTTCTAGTCTATAACTTTTGATTGAGAAGTCTGATCGAAAAGGTACGAATTGTTTTGGATTCTACGCACCAAAATTAATAAGAAAAAGTGTTTTCCCGAGAAATTTTGGTGTAGTCACTGCCTTTTTTTGAGCCCCGAAAAAAAATTGTCTCGGATCGACCCGGAAAAAATTTTCTTATAGAATGTGGCCTGTAGAATCCCCAATTTCAAACAGTTCCAAGATTGGGCTACTAGTTCAAAAGTTACAGCCCTTTGAATTTTTTTTCGAAATTGGTTTCTAGTCTATAACTTTTGATTGAGAAGTCTGATCGAAAAGTACGAATTGTTTTGGATTCTACGCACCAAAATTAATAAGAAAAAGTGTTTTCCCGAGAAATTTTGGTGTAGTCGATTTTTGGTAAAAAAGGAAGGTTATACACTGCCTTTTTTTGAAGCCCGCAAAAAAAATTGTCTCAGATCGACCCAGAAAAAAAAATTTCTTATAGAATGTGGCCTGTAGAATCCATAATTTCCAACAGTTCCAGGATTGGGTTACTATTTCAAAAGTTACAGCCCTTTGAATTTTCTTTCGAAATTGGTTTCTAGTCTATAACTTTTGATTCAAAAATCTAATCGAAAAAGTACGAATTGTTTTGGATTCTATACGCACCAAAATTAATAAGAATTTTGGTAAAAAGGAAGGTTATGATTCGGTACTAATTTCAGGGGTTAATCTCGGCAGAAATTCTACCTACACCTAATCCACAGTCGAGTCGATCTTTCTCTTCTAATTAAATTTCTGTCGATGAGAAAATAACTAAGTTGCATGTCGTTTGCCTTTCCTGTAGAATCTGGAATTCTGAATTTTCTTCCCCATCAGTTTATATCGTTTTTGATTACGTATCTAATTTGCATTTTAATTGTGTTACTTTACCGTATATTAACGTTGGTCAGAAAATCGTTCACGTTACCTTGTTTTTCAGACTTACAAAACTGTAAAAGTACGCGTAGAAAATTAAAAGTAAATGAATTGGAAATTTTGTATGAATCAAGGGTGAAGTGGAGAAAGTTCTAGAGAAATTGATCACGCAATTGAATTGTCGAGGAACATATATACAGTGCGTTCGAGATAAGAGGCTCACCTCAATATCTCTTTTAATTGGCGAGATGTGAACAATTTCTGAAATATAATTTTATTTGTAACATTACGATCCGCATTGAAACTTCCGTCATCATTTCCGGTTCAACCCATGCAACTTTTGTTTATCAAATACAATTCTTTATTCTTCTAGTCTATTGTCTCTTACTTCGGCCACCTAATGATATCTTTCAGAAATTGATATTTTTCATCTGATCTAAGACAAGTCAAGTTTCTATAGTACGTTTTAGTGGTAATGTTTTTTGTTAGCTTGTCTATACCCCGCAGGATTAAGGGCAATTCTTGGAAACTACAAAGAAATTTTAGAGACGCCAGAAGTTTCTGACTTAAAACTCACAAATCATGGTCTAAATCGGCCAGTTATAATTTCTACACTCTACATTTATTAGTAGAATGTTGTTAATTTTGTTTCGCGCACTTCGTCCATGAAATACAGCCCTCCTCACTGTCACAGAGAACTCACACCACTAAGTGGTACTTTTTATTACACCATGAGTAGTACGTTCCTCAGGGGAAGATAGTCGTAGCATAGAAATATTCATTCTTGTAAATCATCAATGGTTCTTCTTAACAAATTGCATGACCGCACGAGCAGATTTGCAATTCATCATTAAATTTGATCTCCTTTAGGTACATTTTGCAGTTCAAGTACGGATAGCTTTGTTTGTTATTTTCTTTGGCTTCATTAAGCCCCGTTCGCTACCCACTTGTTCAGCGAAAAGGAAACGACACAACTTGGCGTACTGTTTTCCACTTACTTGTACTACTATAGTACTACTACTAGGTACCTGTTCACTACTCCAGTTCACCCATAAAATCCGCAACGCCACACTGCATTAATACTTCGAAAAGTGATCAAGGTATAAGTTGGGGTGGCGATGACCACTGCTCAAAATGGTATAGACTAGAGTTTTCCCCTTTTCTATATTCGAGCACATCGCATCTTTACTAATCTTCTGTTGCAGATACAAGGAGCATACAAGCAACTTATACGAGACGTAGTGATATTATTTAGTCAATTTACACGAACAAATGCTCAAAAATTCGGAGAAGATATGTTCTCGTACGAAAAACGCATCGCCGAAATCACGCCGCACATCTACGAATCTATCAACCCCGTAAATACCTACAATCCCATTAAACTTTCCGAATTAAAAATTACAGTTTCTAGTGTATGTCGCTCCATTGACAATCGTGGTTATCACTAACCAGTTGCTTTCAGCTTCCTCTACTGGATATTTTATCTGCAATGTATCCCGAATGTAATATTAGTGAAGAAACCGAAGTGATTGTAACCTCGATCCATTATCTGACTGAAGTTTCTCATATAGCATCAACCACGGATAAGGCGACTTTAAATAGTTACCTGATATGGACCTTGGTAAGGGAGTATTTGCCATATTTATCGAACGAATTTACCTCAACTTTAAATCTTTTTAACGGCGAAGTTTACGGTAATCCGACAGTAGGTAGAATAAAGATTAACAATTAGTTTTTAGGCTACCAACGAGCGCTTCCGCGATGGGAGAAATGCGTTAACTTGGTTCGAGACGTTATGGGTTTAGCCATTGAGGCAGGAATGGAATCGAAACATCCAATTACGAACATCAGTTTGGGAGTTACTAGTCGAATGTTTGACGAAATTAAAAAATCTGTGGAACAGCGCCTCTTAAAGTTACACATCTCTTCTCCTCTCCACAAGTATCTTTCTAATAAGGTAAGAGGCGAAACAATTTACCCCCGCTTAAAGATTGTGGATTTTTACAGTTAAGTAGATTACAAATTCAAATCGGACTTCCAAGTGTTACCAGAAATGCCAGCTATGTTAAGGACTATTACAGCAAATTAATGATATTGAAGGCAAGTCTGTTCGATAGTATAAAAAATAGTTTATTTTTCAAAAGGCGAGCGGAAGAAAGGTTGCTGACTGGTTCCCGTCCTTATGACAATATCATTTCACATACAATAAACAATCCGACTCGAATCAGCTACATCGCCTCATCAAACACAATTCTTGTTCCACGTTCAGTATTAACAGCGCCTCAATTTGAAAGCGACTTTCCCAGGTGAGTAATGCTCGAAAAGAGTTGTAGAAAGCATGGAGGGGGTAGAATTTTTGACTTTAGGGAAAGATTTGGATTGGTTGTGAAAAATCTTATTGATAATCTATTTTTAAAAATGTGCCCCCTCGCACACACTTTCTAATTATTCTAATGATTTGAATAATTGACAGCTCAATTTTATACGGTCGACTTGGAGTAGAAATAGCCGAGGCGGTAACATCGAGCGTGTTACCATTTGACAGCCAGTGGACGGCGGACTTTAAACTGCTATCCCCATTTCACCTGACTGTAAACGAATCGTATGAGGCAATCGGCAGTACCAGAAGCTGCATACTGGATTTCATCGAAAATAATAATTTGGCCCCTAAATTTAGTAGCGAACTAACAATATCTACATTAAAGCACCTGTTTGCTGTGAGCGTGGCCCATCAGGTACGTAAAGAAAATTCCAAAAACTTGGCCCTAATTAAAAAGTCTTAAAGGCGTTAAACGCGGCATTACGAGATTCTGTACATCTACATCAGCCTTCTTTGGAAAAATTAGAGGAGTCGAATTTATTTTTCCTCAGCTACGCTGAGAGTCAATGCTCCATTTTGACAAAGGAACAAGATTTATATGATAATGTTGTTAAATACGCATTATCGAAAAAGTCCTTGTATGTATTTTACAGACCACTGTTACAAATGCTATTATATCTTTTAGGTTGAAGACCGCCTGGCAACTTCTACCTGAATTTAATGACGTTTTTGATTGCAGCGCAAGGCATGGAGAACGTTGCGGTGATATGTTTTGAAGTACATTTTTGCGAAATGTACTTAGCGTAAATTGTTAATAAAACACCTCTAGGATATGTATTTATAACTTTTTGTACTATAAAAGTGATTATATATTTTATTATATTGAGAAGTGACAATATCTCCAAAAGTAATTTTTGAGTGAAAATTATTTGGTATGCCTGAAATAATCCTGTAGTTATCCTCTTCCATCGTCCTTTATACATAGGTAATAAAAGTACTTATTGTTACTGTAGTAATAAAATATAATACGGATCTTTTTTATAACTTATTTATTCGTTAGCAAAACAACAACTGGCGTTTCCCCTAACAACCGCCTTCTATCCTTCAAATACCTTAAAAACCAATAGTAAGTACAGGAAACGAAGGTTTTGCCCGGCAGCGTATTGGCATTCTGTACTATTATTCAGAGCAGCTCTGGTCTGATTCGCAGTATACTATGGCTTCACGTTATGCGCAATTTGATAATACATTATATACTGCGATTCAGAGCGCCGATATGGTTTAGTGCTCGGTGTCGTGTTTGTTTTATTACTAAAATCAGCTAAGCACTTGTCGCACCAAACACTGTTAATATCTTCAACCGCTTTTTTAAATTTCGCTTTAAATCCATGTTCTACTAGTTCCAAATATATACGATCATTGAAAACTTATTCTCGTGGCACATTTCAACCAATGCCTCTTTATAGATCATTTTAGTGCAGTTTGAGAACCTTGATTACACACAAACAACAAAAAATATGCTTTTTTCTTGCAAAGGGAACAATAAAAACACACTTTTTGTAAGTGTATGATGTGTTTTATAGAAACCCATTATATACAGTGTTTCAGAACTCTAAACCATATCGGTGATCTGAATCGCAGTATATAATGTATTATCAAATTGCGCATAATGTGAAGCCATAGTATACTGCGAATCAGACCAGAGCTGCTCTGAATAATAGTACAGAATGCCAATACGCTGCCCGGCAATTTTTCCAATATGGATCGATTAACTTGAAATTTTGAAGAAATAGCCTAAGGATCAAAATCTATATCGTGCCAAAGGGCGCTTTCACCCTGGGGGCGGTTGTCACCCCAACGCGGGGTGACAATTTTTTTTGGAAAGTTAATACTCCAGTTATTCACGACCGAAGTCAAGTTTCACAGTCAAATAATGGCAAAACTATGCATTTTTCAAGAAAAACTTGTAGAATATTTTTTAAAATGAAGTCAGTCAGTACCGAAAACAATATTATTTCCATAGAAACGGCGGGGTAACCTAAAGCTTGTTATTTTTTACGTCTCGATTAAATTCAAAATTTTCAGAAGTTTTATAATGATTTATACAGGGTGGTGACTTGCGTAACGCATCATAGGGATTTCAATATAAAATTCATAACATGCGATTATTGGCTCCCTAAATTATTTTAGAGCAAAAATGTATTAAGGTTTTTTGTAGAAAAAATTTTTTTACGTCAATCAACCGTATTAGTTTTCAATTTTTTGCATAATAAAGACGGAAAATTGGAAAAATAAAACCCGCATCTTTTTCAATAATCTGCGATGCCATGGAATATTCTAAAACAAAAAGATATCCAGTTATCAATTAGCAGCAGATCTAAATGGATTTTATGATTGACTTGGTTACTGCCTTGCAGTTAATGGTGACTTATTCGAACAGTTACTGTAAATTGTTATATTAGGAAACCGTTTTTAGTAATTTGGTCTTTCTTTATATTGAATTCGCTGTTCCAAATAGAACACTTTTTGATAGAATTTGATTTGTTTTATAGCAGACATTCCATGGCATGTCTGATATTGGCGTAGTTTTTGTATTATAAAATTCCATGGCGTCACAGATTATTGAAAAAGATGGGGGTTTTATTTTTCCAATTTTCCGTCTTTATTATGCAAAAAAATACGGTTGATTGACGTAAAAATTTTTTTCTACAAAAAAACAATACATTTTTGCTCTAAAATAATTTGGGGAGCCAATAATCGCATGTCATGAATTTTACATTGAAATCCCTATGATGCGTTACGCAAGTCACCACCCTGTATGGCTTGTGCTATAAAATAAAGTATTTTGTATTATACACGACGATAAAGGGAAACTAACATCTCGTAAAAACATCCTTATCTCGTCTTGCATAATAAATAACTATTTTCTACACTTGTGCGTGTCGAGGAACTGCATGTTGGTTATTACTGACTTTGTCATCCCCGTGTAGGAACGGGGTAGAATATTCCTACTGCAGGGACACTGCATGTCGTAAGAGGCGACTAATCAATGGCAATATAAGCGGACGTCCAAAAGAGGATGCATGTTGGAGTTCGTCGGGTTTCATTTTTCTCTTATGTACAAAGAATGTAATCTATTATTAAATTTGACGCTTTTTTGGTAAAACAATAAATGCGTAATAATACCTACCTACTGCACAAACTAAAAATTCCTCATGTCCATCCTAGCTTCATCTTCACCTCCCTTTCTGTGTTGGCTTCCTGTTTCTTTATTTTCCGTTTTCCTATAATCTTCATTCTGTTCTCTCTCTTTCCTACTTCGTGCAATACTTCTTGTCTGCTTTTCTTCGTTTCTTCTACCCCCTTTTCTATATGATCTATGTTCAAGTATGATTGCCCACGTAAACAAACATTCCAAAGTTGCGACTCCACGGCAAACCATTTTTGATCGCGTAGGAGTTTAGTCATAATATGGAACAACGTCAAATACTAACAGTTTTTTGTTACTTTCACAAATTAGCGCACACCCAATTTTGCCCTTGTTCTTGATTCGGATTCTTGGTGCTTTAAAGCGAGTATTTTTTTAAAGTAGGGGGTCATTATTCATTCATTTTATTGTGCTAAGTAATTACATAGTGATTTTTGCACTCGTCTTATTTTTACCCCAATGTAATTACCTTTAATAACGCTTAACTACCAAAAGGTGACAATTGATTAAAATTTAAAAAAAAAGAACGGACTGACGTGTCAAATCAAATCATTTATTGTCAGAATTACCAAATGTGGCTTTGACATGTCAATAATGTACAATGTAAATAACGTAAATATAGAAAAAGCAAAATTCGAGATATAAACTACAAATTTTCAATAAATATAAATAAAAATAGTTTAAAAACGTATGCGAACTATGGACGCACACTAGGTACACATTAAAATTTTGATTAGATAAATTAATAATAATAATTTAGCTTACGCTTGTACTTATCGTATATGTGACACAAGGATGTAATAAAAAACAAACGACATATGATGGGACGAACATACAAAACTGATAAGCATCAAGGCACGAGTTACCATTTAGTGGAATAAATAAAGTGTACATAAAATAAAATAAATTTACAGGTTTTATATGAGACTAGATATATATTTGAATTCTTCAATAGCGTAATATGCTTTTTTAAATAGTATTTCTTTTAATTTCTTTTTTAGTTGTAGTCTAGTCAACTCTTTTATTTGCGTTGGAAGATGAAGTTTTTGGGAGACGTACATACACTAGTCCATTTTGCGTCTTGGCTAAACGGTAATAATTTGGCCTTATGTTAGTTCGGGATCTTGGGAAATGATGATGTACCTATATCACTTTGCAATTTAAATTGATGAAGATTATCTTTCGAATAGATCATTCTATCTGGTAAGGTTAATATTTTTAGGTCAATAAAAGTCATTCGGCAATCATCCCTATATCCAAAACCATTTATTATTCGTACTGTAGAGCATTTTTTTCTAATTTCAAAAATGTGAATATCATTATTTTTTAATAAGAAATGGCGCTATTAATTCGTAAAAACGCAAGAAACTACGAACATACACTACTCAAGACAATTGCCCAGGCAAAAAAGAAGATATTTTAACAATATTTAAAAAATAGTGATATTTACATTTTTGAAATCTAAATCTATCAAATATGACACAAAAAGTAAAAATGACTTCCATAAGAAAAAACAAAGTTGCTGATTAACCGGAGACGAAACTTAAAATTTAAAACTAGCATCTTGTGGAGGGAAAAAAGTGCCCATAATAATGTGTTATTTATTTTGAAATGTCTTTTCAAATAACTTCAGTAAAAAATAAAAACGATTCTGGAAAACATTATGTTTCATTACAATAAATTACAATAAAATAATGCAATATTCATATTCAGAGTTTCTAATAACTTAGTTTAAATTCGTAACACGCATTAGCAAGGGGATCGAACGCGAGCTCCATATCCCTTTTTTGCGTTCTGAAAGAAAAAAAAGATATTAAATAGGGGCTTATGATTAAAAGAAGTATTTTAACAAAAGGATTTTTGTGACGCTAATCAGTGGAAAAAAGTGAATAGGGTTCGGATTCATAAAAACGACTGCCACGCCACCAATATGCTGTACTGCAAACTTTGAAACAACTTTGCTACTTCTGTCGCTCTATGATCTTGTTGCAGTGGATTGATGATATCAAGTTGGCAAACCTGCTCTTATCGTCAAAAGTTCAATGTCCACCCCCTTTTGACTTGTTTCACATCTTTTACGGTTAGGTATTTAAAACTTTTCAGAAATTATGTAGAATTCCAGCGAAAATCTCCCCAACCATGGCCACAGTTAATCCCGATATCCATCAAAAATTTCGTAACGTTAAAAAACCCTCCGTCAGACAAGCGGGCGATGGAAACGAAGTGGAAGTAGATTCTTCGCTTGTTTTACCGCAATTTCTTTTAACTCGCCACTCGATTTTAGGTCGAAGTACGCGAAGACGAGGAGCAGTCGGTTAAGCTTCAGGAGATACTCGATCTATTGGTAGCTGCCGGATACTTTCGGGCACGAATTAAGGGCCTTTCACCTTTCGATAAGATAATCGGCGGAATGACTTGGTGTATCGAATCGTGCAGTATTGATGTAGATGTCGATCTGTTATTCCAAGAGAATTCCACGATTGGACAAAAAATGTAACTTTCAATCCTTATCAAAATTTATACCTACACCGCTTATGTTTTAGAGCTTTAACTGAAAAGATCGTCGCGGTCTTGCCAAAGCTCAATTGCCCGCACAGAATCGAACCGCACCAAATTCAAGGCTTAGATTGTGTTCACATTTTTCCGGTTGTACAAGTAGGTGATTACGAAGGGGCAGAAGGGTGGCATGTAGGATACTCTAAGCTCGAATTTGGGCTCTAAATGTTAAAGTTTAAACTCTGTATCTAAGTACATTCTGACTGTACACCTATTTGTTAATGACCTATTCCCCTAAACCCTGTGTTTTTCCCAAATTGTAAGGGAAATGAGCCAGTGAGGGGGATATGCCTTTTTACTAGCTTACTACAGTAGTTTTTTTCTTAAAGTTTAAGCCATTCAACATTAAATGTGAATCTGTTTATGCTTATGCCTACTTTTAAACAGCTCTGAAATTAAAAAGGGCTCTGAAAGGCACCCAGAAGGATCTTGAAAGCTTTCTGATACTTGCCAGACTCTTTCAGGTGCTTTCCAGGATCTAGAGATTAGAAAAGTGACATAGAAATTTTTGGGGGCGCAGTGAAGTTAGAAAAAGATCAGAAAATGTAGTCAAAGAACAATTTTGAAAATATTGGGGACCTCTCCCATCAACCTCTACCAAGACCAATCGAAATCTGCACAAAAAACTGTAAGGTCATGTACTTATAAACGTTAAAAAATCAATGGTTTTTCTTTAAACAATAAGACAATACATGCAGGACATGAAACGTTTGGCAAGCGTCAATTGTCAGTAGGCTCCAAAATGGCGGACGCGTCGGTTGTGCTATATATAGTAGGTATATCAATTATCATTAATAGTTCCGCAATTTTTGTTGAACATTTCGAAGGCACCCTTGGTTTTTAAAAACCAAAATTATGTCAAAAATTAGTTTCCAGCCAAGCAGGGCGGATCCCCAGAAGCTTAGACCTCAAAAATAAATCAACGTTGTCAAATCTCATTGAGTTTACACATAATACAGGGTTCGAGTAGCCTGTAATAAAGATAGTTTAATTTCGTTTTTACCAAAGGATAGGGAAAATCCGAGGGAAAATCTTAAGTTTTTCTTTTACTTATTTTAATAGGTTTCTATGCGAGCTCCGCCTGTGGCACGGCAGTCAACTAAGCGATAATCCGTCCAGGTCTGTTGATCTTCTCTGTCTATCACAATTAGTGGTGTGGGGCGCGAATATTTCCAAGCCAATTTTGCAATATTTGTGGAGATATTCGGGAATATTCGCACATCGGAAATTTAGGCGAATATTTACCATAAATTCTCGAGAACTTTACAAGAGCATTCTTCCCACATTTCACAGTTTGTACTAGTTTTTAATCGGGCAACCCGCTCTTGTTATCGCCAGACATATCTTTGTTCACGTTCGCTCTGAAGCGGCACATGCGTACATTTTTCTATGCTGAACAAAATTATTATAGATATGAATTCAAATCCGTATTCAACAATTTTTGAGATTCCTAGTTGCACCCGAAATGATAACAATGTTTGAATTTTAAATGGGACCCTCTGTGTATTACATGTTTCGATAGTACTCTCATGTCCACTTCTGACGTTTTAATCTAAAAATATTTAAATTTCGAAATCTTAATTTAGTGTGCCATGACAGTCAGTTTTCTTAATCGGGAAGCTTGGAAAAATTTGGGCGTTTTTTGTTTTTTAAAATATTTGCATAGACTAAAATGAATCAAATCAATTTTTCCAAGCTTTCGCGTCTAAAAATGATTGTTTGAACATGCTCATGATACGCTAGATTAAAATTAAAAAATTTAAGGTGCAGACATGAGGTAACTTTGTTCATGTTCCATTGAAATATGTAGGTAATAAATAATAATATACAGGGTCTTTCACAACGACCGTCGCCCGATTTTCGGAAACTGTTATAGATAATTTTATTAAACTAATTTTCCCATTGAACAAAAATATTTTTAAGATTTCTACCTCAAAACGTTCAGCCCTAAGGACTCTTTCCTCGACCCTTTTCAAAAAACATAGTGTTAAGGATGAACAAAATCAAACCAGGGATCTAGGAGGTATCAGGAAAAGAAAACAAATTTCCCTGCAACTGTTATAAAACCTTTGTGTAGGGGGGAGGGTATTCTATATCCCCTAAACCAGGGGCGGACTGGGTAACTGCGGGCCAGGTGGAATTGCATAGGTTACGGGCCATTAAAGTATTAGTGTAGTAGTTAGTTCTGAGGTGCACCACAAAAACATTTTAACGTACTCCTTTCTCGAAAATCAATTACCATACAGTTTTTTTTTTAATTGCAGCTGATAATTAAAAGTAACAAAATATACAATCCACACGAGGTGCGTCGCCTATCATTTTATTTCAGCACTTTCAAAATACTACGACAAAAAATGATAAATTCATTGTAAAACACTTCAATTAAAACAGAATTTTTTAACAACCTAACATCAACCCCAATTAGAGAATCATGTTAATAATTTATTAATAGTGCAAGAAACTAAATACAGCACATACTTACAAATTTCCAACGGGCCATTATGATCTACAGGCCAGGTGGCAATCGCCACCCACCCCCCCGGACCAGTGCGCCCCTGGTTATACACTGCCTTTTTTTGAGCCCCGAAAAAAAAATTGTCTCAGATCGACCCGGAAACAATTTTTTCTTATAGAATGTGGCCTGTAGAATCCATAATTTCAAACAGTTCCAAGATTGGGCTACTAGTTCAAAAGTTACAGCCCTTGAATTTTCTTTCGAAATTGGTTTCTAG